GTTTACATGATGTGCTCAGCTCTAGCTGCAGGACGGGGCTCTCGATAGCTGCAATGTAATCATGCCGGCGCCAGGCCAGGAAACCTGCCAATTGCTGTTTTGAATGTGGTGAATGGTCTGGAGAGAGGGATGACAAGCCTCCAGGATTGTCCTGGAGTCTCCAGGAATTAAAGATTGTCATGTGATGAATCCTCCAGGAATACGGCCAACCAAAATTGGCAGCCCTGTCTGGAGAACAAGATGTAAACGCTGCCAGCCCCACTCCCACCAGCATAAATGAGCAGTAACGCCACTGAAATCAATGACCCAGAACCTTCACTCTAGCCAAAGACCACAGAGTGCAGAGCAAGAGAGGAGAGAGACAATGGAGAGTTTTACACTCTCCAAACCCCGGTGTCAGCTGGGTGCTAGCGTCACTCAGACACAAGGTCTCCAATAGGCTGATACCGCAGCCAGGAAGTGGTGGGGTTTGTGTGGCTTCCCTTAGCCACACCCTCTATTTCAGCAGCAGGGAGGGCAAGAGGTGTAGGAATAGCTGTGTCACTTGTACACCACGGGAGGATTCTGCTACACCAGGGTGCCTCTGGTCGCTGGCTGTGCTGGGGTTAGGGCTGCTTTGTGGCCATAGTGCAATACGGGATTTGGGCCAGTCAGGTTTACGCATGTGTGAAGTGGGCGCGGTCTGTATGAATGACTTGGCTGGAGAAGTACACAATAGAGCATAGCCGTGTTTAGTTAGCGGAGCTGCAAATGGAGAGGTGGGAGTGAGAACACTTTTTCTTTGCAATAGCTGCAATAGTGGGCATAAACTGCTCTCTTCCAGAGACTGAACATTTTGCTCTCCAAGATTTGTACAAGCCCCAGGGATATTGGATCTGACTGGGATGATTTAGCATCATCCGGGGGGCGGGGGGGGGTTTAACGGCATCTGAGGCAAAGCAATCACTCCAACCTGCCTTTAGTTACCAAGGGCCTCCATGAACACCACACTGTGACACTGCTACTAAAGGTGACACGTGGAATCTGTAAATTTGTCATCTTGATCTCAGTCAAGACACTGAGAACTGGGCTGAGTCCTTCATTCGTGTCCCTGTTACAAGGAGACAGAGGTTCTTACAACCTTGTACACTACTACTAAAGGCAGTGAAAGAAAGTGAAGTGGCAAGAGAGAGATTTAGGCGTTTGGGAAGAGAATCTGCCTGAATCAGCCAAAGACCTCCAAATACAGGCTACAACATGCCATGTTCACTTACAGTATGTTTATTTCTCAGTGCATTACATGAAAGGTCTTTGGTAGTTGTGGGTTCTTGAATATTGTTCCCACTCTGCTCTGTTTAAAAAAAAATGCTGAATACAAAACATTCCATATACAGTAACAAACCCCATAGCAAATAAAGAGAAATAGATACCATGAACAATAATACAGCAATATGAAAACAGAGAAGTAACCATGCAAGATCTGGAGCTAACAGGTTTGGTTTTTTTTTTTTTAATTTTGTCCTTTAGTGAAGTCTGATGACAAACGTTGGAGCCTGTCAGAAATGAGTTCATCATGTCGGAGGAGATTTGTTATTGTTCCGTTAAAAATTACACACAAGCACAAGATACTGTATCTAACTTCACTATAAAAGATCAAATGATTGTAGAACTTATTACAATTAGGGAAGCTGGGAGCCCTTGCGCGCACACAACACACGGCTATAAATAAAAAAATACTGTGTAAAATAACGTGAAAAAAGTTTAACATTTTCTTCTATGATTGGGAATGTGTTTCATGGACATTTATAGCACCTTTGATTTCACGTGATTTCAGAATAAGTAGTTTAATTCTCCCCCTCCCCCCAGTGCTGGAGCAGAATGGAATGTAATCTTGAATAATACAGAGGTCATAATTGTGGACTAGAAGGGATTTCCAATTAGTCAATCAAGAACCTACCTTCATGTAATCATAGAATTAGTTTGTCTGTCTTCCTGAAGCCATAGGGGTAGTGGATGGGTTTCTGCTTTAACAAAGTTTATTCTATAGATTGGAGCTGGGATTTCGGTTCAGTGCCGACGTTTGTGAGCCAGCTCTCGTGTAAATGGTCATAGTTCCACTGACATCACTGGACCTGTCCCAATTTACACCAACTGAAGATCTGGATCGGAACGTGTGGCCTATTCTTGCTCCCGTTAAAGTCAATGGCAAGAACTCTGTGGACATCAGTGGAAGCAGGATATGACCCTTAGCTCTAGCGTATTCCTATTTTCCTGCATGGTTGTCAAGTCTTTAGAAAAAGTGCATATTGGAAACTCTGGAGTGAAGCATTCTCTATTTCTCAAGAGGATACCAGAGCACTAGTGAAAGTTGGGGTGCATAAACTACAACGTATTCTACTGTGCAATATGCAGCCATTGCTTTTAGTTAGCTCAAGGCAAGGGAAATTGTTTTTCTACTACCAGAACCAATCCAAGTTGAAAAGTATTGGAGTTTAGAGAGGTACTTTAAAAATCCCAAAGAAGTCTTAACAAAGGCAAAAGAACACACTATGGTATTGCACAGTATGTATGTAAGATAAAGCACTAACATTTCAATTAAAGTATACTTCTAAATGAGCACGCATTTGAAATATGTCCACCCCCTATATTACACAGAGATGGTACAATGCATATGCTCTGGCTAAAATGAATCTTAGTGTCCCGCCTAAGATGGAAAATGTGGTTGGAGTGGTTTATTTAGTCACAAATATCATTAATGTCAACATATGAGGTTATGTTCACCTTTATAAATTTTTTTTTTAAACTAAGACTGCACCACAATGTGGTCTAATTGATTTACTAGTGAGGAATTAAACCCTAGTCCAGTGACAATGTCCACACTATATGGTCCTATCGTTACCCAGATTAAAGATACAGTACCACATTGATAGATGTAGCCAAGGCCTGGTCTACACTGGGGAGGGGGAGGATCGATCTAAGTTAAGCAACTTCAGCTACTGAAGTCGACGTACTTAGACCTACTCACCACAATGTCTTCACTGCGGTGAGTCGACTGCTGCCGCTCCCTCGTTGACTCTGCCTGCACCTCTCGCAGCGGTGGAGTACAGGAGTCGACAGGAGAGCGCTCGGGGGTTGATTTATCGCATCTAGACTAGATGTGATAAATCGACCCCCGCTGGATCGATCGCTGCCCGCCGATCCGGCAGGTAGTGTAGACCTACCCTTAGCAAACAAGGAGTGTTGGGAGCAAACAGTTACATAGGTCTTCATAGAAATCTGTGAAAGTTGGTAATTAAAATGAAGTTGCAATCCGAACCTAAACCTGCCTTCTGACAATCAATCTGCTAGGATTAATTGCAAACCATTTCAATTAACTTTTTCATTTTACCACTAAGTTGTTCTGCATAATTTAATTAAAACCCAGCACGCTAGTCAAATGCAAATCAACTAAAGGGATTACTCATCAAGCTAATGCAATTGTTTTTTAATTCCCAAATACAAAGTTGTGGGAACAAAAACTGTCCCCTTTAACTCATTTGGGGGACTCCAAAATTTCAAGGAACTACTAATTGAACCCATACTGCATAATATCTCTCCCCCTTCCCAAATTACATCCAACAGCCATGGGATTGTCAAAACAGAATATTGATATTTCCCCTTTTAAATATCAGGTTGGAGGGTTGTTTTGCTTTGCCTCTGGGTCCTGCTATGGGAAAACTCTTTCCTAGTGATCAGATGAAATGCAGCTCAGACCAGCTTAAATCTTTTGACCAAACTGTGATTTCTCATCATGTCTCAGGAACCAGTTTCCTGAACACTTACTACTAGTCATGAGGGTAGTTAGTTAGCATTCTGCCTGGTAATACGTGCAGGAGGGGACCCCAGATTATCTATCAACAGAAGTGACCAGGCACCTCTTGTAAATTTCTAACCACTGGCTGACTTATAAAAGTGTGTTGTAGTCAAGTTTTTCTTAAAAGGAAACAGGAGACCAGTCCAAGAACAAAACTAGTGCAAATATGGCATGGCATGGCTGTGTTATAAAACAGCTGTCCCTCAACAAGACTTCATGGTCTAAATTCCCTTTATACAACTCCATTCCACCTCCGTTAGTGAATGGAAGAAAATGTTCACAGGGCTTTTGTTGTTTGTCTACCAGATGTCTTGGTATAGTTGTGCTCTTTGCATTCGTGTTTGCATTTAGACTGAGAGATGGCTGCCAACTATTTCTAAAAGATATGGATCTCATTCAGAATTGTTTATATACACACAGTCACTGGATGTAGCCTGGGGCTTACAACTAACATCTCTTCTGAAGGCCTTATTTTATTGTCCTAGAAGTCATACCAGGATGTGACCATTGCTCTCGATCAATGCCTTACTGATATTGACAACCCATTTTATTCTCTCCAGGCTGGGTTATTGCTCCCTGTTTATCTGCATCAGATCAAAGATACAACTCCCCCAGAATGTAATGTACACAGCTGCACAAGAGACTGAAACATCTGCTCTTTATGGTTGCATCTCCTAAAGTGTTGCATTGACTTTAAAGTTCTTTGAAGTCTCTCATGGCTTATGGGGAATAGCACCTGATTGTATTTTGCTTTGCCTCCCCAGCAGTCCTCCACATTTTGGGCTGATTTGGCTTGCCTAATGACATCCTTAAATGGATCCAAGCAAGGACATAACTATACCCCTTGACTATGGAATGCAGCCTTAGTTGTTATCCCCAATTCCTAGTCTGTGCCAGAATTCAAAAGTACGTTAAGGAAATAAATTTACTGCAGCTTTTGGTCCTTCAGTGGCTGTTTATATTGTTTAACGGTGTTGCATGGGGAGATTTCTCTGCGGACCACATCATCAGCTCAAGATGTTGCTTTTTGTTTGTTGGGAACATATGCTATCAGCCTCCCCCTTCACCTATTCGTTGTAAAATGGTGGTAGTTTTAAAGATGTAAATCTAGTCACTTGGGGTGGGTTTTAAACTATTTGTGGCTGGTGATGCAATACGGTCTAGAGGCCTGATATGGATGTTTTGATATAGTTATTGGTATCTTTGTAGACAGAGAGATTGTGTGTGTGCACACGTACATACAGAAATATCTCACACTTTTTAAAATTAGTGTTCGGCTAAGCCAGACTGAAAGCGCCCGAGCCCCTTATTCTAGGCACAGACTACATCCACTGGCAGTGCAGATTTCAGTTTTCAGCATTCCACATGCCTCCATCCTGACCTGGGAGGGCCACCTTTAGCAGTAAGAGGGTACTTCTGTCTCCATGGGCCATTCAGCTCTCTCTGTTGAGGTTGCCAACAAAGGGGCTAATAAATTGCAATGGTGGTTTTTTGATGTAGATACAGTTTGCACTAGGAACGAGCCCGAGTGATGCTATGAATTTACTTAAGCCACCAAATAGAGACACAACAACATTTGTTCACTAGTGCCTTGGAGAGGATTTGAACCAGTGACTGAACAGTGAAAAATTCTGTAACCTGTTATCAGTTGCTTTGGTCATTCAATCCCGCTATTAAAAAAAAAGGAAATTAATTGTCTACATGAACAACATTAACTTGTCCAATTTGATTGGACAGCAGGTGTGAAATTTCTGTTCCCCCAACAATAAGAGCTATTGCAAAAAGTAAAATGATTGAACATTTCACTGCAAGATCAAGCCACTGGCAAGAGTCTAATCCTTCTACTGTGTTTTGCCAACACAGCGCCTCCAGATTCAAACCAGTAGGAGATGGTGGATACTTTTAAAAATACCCACAATAGAAAGAAAGCTATATCAATAGTTCTAGCTTATGATCTAAAGCTGGGTAAATACTGCAAAACGTTTTCAGTGCATATTTGTTCCTAATAAGAAATTAATTTTTCTTGGCTATGTTTATACCTATTTTGTGTTCACTTTATGCAAACTTTCATACAATTTTGTCTTGCTTGCTATGAATGTTTGCAAAAAGAATGTTGATCTTGAATATGCATGAAAAGCAAATTTTACATTCTGTAATTATTTATACCAGAAACCTGATTGCACGAACAGCTTACTATCAGGGAACAGAAGGAATACCAGAAGGTCTATATGACACCATTCACACAACCAGTCAACACAGCTCAACTCCCTGATTTTAAATTTCAATCAGAAAGCCCAAGAGTAAATGAAATTTGCCAAAGATTGTGAAGAGCCAGCACATCTGAGACAAATCATGATCTGTTGAAAGACACGCCATAAAGAGATGAAATTTGTCAAATAAGTGATTAGTTCTTAATTTTTCACTCTACTCTTTAAAAAGAAAGATTTCCATAGCTTTAGTGGAGTTCTGAAAGGGCTATCTTCAACTGGAAATTATAGTGTGAAAACAAAAAACTGGGTGGCATCTGGTTATTTTTAAACATAATAGTGTCATGTTGCTCAGGGCTTTTGCTCTGAGCTAGGGTAGAACTGAATGATGTCTGAGCCAGCTATGCAGTCTTTTAAACAAATAATTTGTGAGGGGAAAGATCAAGCCCCTTGAAGAGGGCTGGGGAGTATCCATTTCCAGGGATAGTTTTTAAGAATACCTGCCATTTGGTGTATTCTGAAGTGGGGGGGGAAGAGGAATTGCTCTTCATAAGAATCTTTGAGTGACAGTTAAGACATTCCCTGCAGTAATGGTTTAGCAGTGTCCAGGCAAGGAAACCCTACTGCTAACCCAGCAGCCTCCTACCTACTTCCTTCTGCACACGGTGATTACGCACTAGGATACTGTATCTTTAATCCGGGAACGGGCTTTAGAATGCACAAATGCTCCTCTTTCATTCAGTTGCTTTTCCTTTTGGCTTCGGTGTCCTCCAGCAGCGAAGCGAGGATCTGATAGGGCTGGGGCCGCTGCTCAGGACCACCTCGTTTGATCTTGATGCTCGTTCGTAGAGAGGAGCCTAGGATCACTTCTTGCCCTGAGCCCGGTTCCATGGAAGATAAAGAATCTGAAAGGAGATCAAGCCAAGGGAGAGTTTATTTAATAGGCGGGGCAGGGTAAGGAGCAAATGTACAGTGCTGAAGGCCTGAGTGGTTTCTATTAAAGAGAAAACAAAGTCCTTGTCCTTCCCTTCAATGTCCCCTCTCCCTTCACTTTTCTTTCCATTTAGCTGGTACGCTCCTAGCTAACTCCTCACTTCCCAAAACAAAAAAAGGGAACTAACATGACCTTTGCCACTATCCCCTTGCTCACGCCGCTTGTGTAGCATACCCCTTTCCCTGTTTCTTTGTAGATTGTAAGCTCTTTGGGGAAGGGACTGCCTACTACTCTGTTTGTACAGCGCCTAGCACAATGGGGTTTGGTCTCAGCTGATCCATAGGCAGCTCCATAATCAACACGATTAATCCTAACAGCAGTGCCTTGTGGTCCTTAGTTGTCAGCAGTTATAGACGTGGCAAAGGTCATTTAAACATTCATTGAGATTCAACACTCCTGAGGAGTTACCAAGTATCACTACACACGTTCCAGATGGGGAAACCAAGGCACAGAGCGGTGATGGCCTAGATGACCTCCTGAGGTCCCTTCCAACCCTGATAGAATCATAGACTATGTGACTTACCCCAGGTCACACAGCTAATTAGCGACCACTGGCAATAAATCCCAGCAGTCTGATCTCCCAGCACCTTAGACACCGGCCCAGGCTCTCTCTTATGGCAAGGAGCCTTTCTACAATGATCCTGCCCCATAACGCTAATTGTACAGGTGGTCTATGGCCACCGTCCTTTTCAAGTGCTTAGACACGCAAATCCATAATGCTGACTCTTCAATGTTAATGCCCCTGTTTCTTTTCCTTTTGCACTCAGTAATGGACACTTGTTTGTTTCACTGCCAAGAGCCCAGACCTTCAGCACTGGGCTGCTCACATCACGCAGTATTTCTAATTCAAGCGAGTACCCCAGTGCAGAGGGATTTGTGCTGCGCTAGCTGGAAATAAGCATTGCCAAAAGTGGGCTTTTCCTGTGTCCTGCTGTTCTGTTCTGTAGGGCTGGTTAATCCGCTCTGATTATCTCAAGCTTCCATCCTGTTGCGTGGGGAAAGGTTTTTGTTGGTATGTTTTGCTTTGTTGCTTGGGTGGTGGTTTTGGTTTCCAAAAACCACGTGGATTCTGGCGCTTTGTCTGACTATGATAGCATGCAATTGGCATTTCGGCTTGGGGCTCCTGCACAGAAGTCATGGCAAAAATCTCAGTGCCCACAGCGGGAGCAGGGTCGGATCCTTAGCGCCAGCCGATTAAAATTGTGGGGTGGCCTCACAGCTTGGGGGCTGTCTCTGCTCAATAAAAATCAGTTTCACTACAATGGAACCGCTGCATGCAAACAGATCTTTCTTTGCACTCTGTGGTTGTAGTAGTTTAATTAAAGACTCTGGTTTTGACCCTAAGCAGCTTCCAGCATTCAACCCAATTGCTGCCCCAAACAAAAAAAAACCAACAATCTCCTGGAATGCCATCCCTGGAATTGTGCTGCCCCAAGCACGTGCTTGGTTTGCTGGTGCCTAGAGCCAGTCCTGATTCAACCTTTTCTTTGGCCTGAAAGAGTGGACAAGAAGGGTCTACAATACCAATTCTTTATAAAAATAGATTAGTTAGTTGGGAAATTTAAGATGAATTAAATCCCTTGTCACTGTAACACAAAGTTTTGTCTTCCAGCATGAATGGCAAATTCTGTGCAATAACCAGGTCTGGCTTTCAGTGCAGTTTTAGATGCAATTTACGTTATTGGTCTTAATCTATAAAGCCTACATTGCTCTAGGTCCTACTAACCTTAACTGTCTCCCAGCAGTTGAGATCAATGGTGGTGCTTGAGCTAATCAATTTAAATGTCTGGGAGTAGGACATCCTCCGTGAGTGGCCCTCAACTCTAGACCTTGCTTTCCCCTCTCTGATCAGACAGCCTGTACGCTTTCCCATTGAATTGTCGGGGGGGCGGGTGGCAGCCTTTAACTGACGCAGGGTCTATTTTGTGATGTATTTAAGTTTTTTAATTGTACATAAACAGAGACGGAGGCAAAGTTTGGAAATTAAATATAAATACAATTCCTATACTGGTAAATCACCCGTTAACCGACACTATTACACTGCTGTAAAATCTGTGTGGAGTAGACCAAGCCAAAACGTTAATCAATTCACTCAACTTGCTGTGCCCAGTTTTCCATTGCCCTGCACCTTCAAGTCATTTACACCAATGCCAAGCGGGTGTTAAAATGCTGCCATTCCCCTTTGATCGTACTTTACGCTAGTATAAATGGATGCACAAGGTAAAGGGCACTGGAGAGTCACACCCAATGCAAAGTGCTTGGAGCTTTAGGCTGCCTGTGTATTCTTCAAAAGGAGAGTGGCCGTACAAAGCATGCCGGATTGTGCTAGTGCAGGCCTATGCAAGTCATGAGGTGATGCCATCACTGGTAATGCTGAGGTTGTCAAGTGCTCATGTTCTAGCCGTGCTGTAAATATTTTGCAAATTCCTTGTCTCGCTGAACTATCAAGTACATTCCCCAGGGTGCTGACCAGCTGGGAGGGCGAGTAACTGTTCCTGCTGTCGGATTGGCTTAGAACATCTTAATGTCTCAACTTTAAGGCAGTTGTGTATCAAATTAATTTTAAATCTTATTATGTTGAGAGAATAACAGGCCTATATCAAGCCCTACATTTTCTGGCTACCTTCTCGACTTTTGTGGCCCCAGGCAGAGCACGAACGTCGATACAGTGGATTTCCTCCCACATAATCTCTTGCTCACCTCCCTGGTGCTTGAACCCTACGTTTCCCCCTTCCTCCTTTTCTTAGTTCTTTGTATTATGTTTGCACCTAGAGGTTCTAATTACAGGTCCCTGACTGTGCTATTCAAATACAGGGTGAAAAACAGTCCCTGGCCAGAAGAGAGAGGCAAAAAATGTGAGTAACAAGTCAGGAGGAATGGGGATGGGGAGGACAAGGCAAACCAATACATTCACGGGTTACATTTCCAAAAGTGCTTAAGTCCTATTTTAGAAAGTGACAGGGATTTAGCAGCCTGAGTTTCATTGACTTTCAATAAGACACATGCTTTAAGCGCCTAAGTCACTTTGGTACATTTGAAAATTTCACAGAAGCCATATAACTATCAGAAGTCCCCACGGGCTGTTAGCTGTTGCCGGTTTCACAAAGACGGCCCCGTGGGAGTAGATCTTGCAGAGAGATTTGAAAGAGGGCAAAGCAGTGCCTCGCTTTATGGACGAGGCGAGGACAAGGGTGCCAGCAGCACTGAAGGAAGTAAATGGTGCTTGGACAAGAAGCATTTGTGTTGGTGCCAAAAGCCCCAATCAACCTCTGAAAGGCACAGAGAGAACATAATCGTGAACAGATCCAAAACATTTCCCCCTTACGCCGACCATTTCTATAGGAAACAATTATGCAGAGCAAGCTATGCATCTGTCAAGGCATTGGAGCCCCTGCCCCAAAGCAAGTGATTTCTCTTTGTTGCATCAGCAGCAGAGAAAACTCTGATGTGTGAGAATCAGAAAACCCGCTTTCCTCTGACGAAAGGCCTGCGGCACGGGTGGGGAGGGAAAAGGCTTCAACTGAATCACTCAAAATATTGAGTGCTTCATTTTAAATCGTAGGAACACGTGAGACACTAAGAGTTTCCAAAAATCAGTGTTCTCTGAATTTTAATCAGGGGAGCTGCCTGGATTATGGATTTGCAGGCCTGGCCCGTTCTAGGGTCCGTCAGACATGACGAATACTAAGAAGGCCAGATCCTCAGCTGATGTAAGTGAACAGGGGACTTTCGATTGATAGCAGCTGAGGGTCTGGCCCAAAGACTCTGTAATGAGAACATTTTTGTAGCGGTTCCATGAAGCAGAACACAACACTGCTTGATCTGCTGCTGAACTGGCTCTGTACTACTGATTATGTGTCGGTGGGGCGTATTATGCACTAGTGCAGGGGTCGGCAACCTTTCAGAAGTGGGGTGCCGAGTCTTCATTTATTCACTCTGATTTAAGGTTTCGCGTGCCAGTCATACATTTTAATGTTTTTAGAAGGTCTCTTTCTTTCTATAAATCTATAATATATAACTAAACTATTGTTGGATGTAAAGTAAATAAGTTTTTTAAAATGTTTAAGAAGCTTCATTTCAAATTAAATTAAAATGGGGAGCCCCCCAGGCCAGTGGCCAGGACCCAGGCAGCGTGCGAGCCACTGAAAAATCAGCTCGCGTGCCGCCTTCGGCACATGTGCCATAGGTTGCCTACCCCTGCACTAGTGTAAAGACAGAGTAACTCCAGTGAATCTGACAGCTGCAGGTGCTCAATGTGTAAAACTCAGCCACTTTAGTCACCTCATTGTGGATTTGGAGCCTAACTTTAGACACCTACTTTTAAAATCAGCTACTGTGCTGAACCAGCAGTGAGCCCTCGCATCCAGCAGCTCATTGAGAGAGCAGGTGAAAAGAAGAGTCATATTCTAGGAGTCTAGAACTAGCCAATTCTAGAGCTGTTAGATGGATGTCACTCTGTTCCCACACGAACGTCTCCAGAAAAGCAATGTTTAGCCTCAGGCTGAGACACACTCACCATGAATTCCTATCATATGCTCTAGAATTAACACCCTCTCGGCTAAAATCTTCAGGGCTTCTCGAAGTTGCTGAACTCCTTCTCCCTGCAAGAAGGAAAAAACAAAACCTCTGTGTGTGTCTACAGCATAGGTACATTATTTAATTTTATAATGCAATCCTCCAAGGCTACAATGCTAATGTAGCCCCTGAAACCACTAATGATTTCATAAAACAAAACCAGGTTGCAAATCTGTGGAGAATAGGGAGATGTCTCTATAAACAGCCAAAGGAAAGCAATGAGGCAAAAAGCCTCAATTATAAACTCCAATTCTGGCATCTCTAAAATTTTGGAGAGGTTTGGAGCCAGATCCAAAATTTTCAGCTGGCTCCTATTTCCATAATGGGCCAAACCAATCGCCGTACAAATCTGAACATTGTCACACTGTGAGGCTTGGATTCAAACTCTGTGGCTTGTGCCCGTTTCCCCAGTCCACTGCACTATTTACTTTACAATTAAAATATTCCTTGCTAAGCAGATCTGACATTTGTTCTGAGCTTCACTTGGGTGGGCCTGGCTTTCCCTGCGCTGACATTGTACCACCAAACTGAAAAGTGTCGCAAGAAACCCTTTCGCTGCTATTTTGTGAAATTATCTCGGTAGTAGTGTGGGTTTGGGGAAGAGCGTTGTCTGGGTCTCACATATCTTACTCTTGATTATTTAAGGGTAAAGCAAGGGATCAGCAGGCAAGCCGGAGCATGCTGTGGAAAAAACAAAATCAGATCTCGTCAAGGGGCCATAGTCTACTAGATATGGGATCAGCTAGGTAGGAAGGATGGCCTAGTTGATAAAGCACTGGGCAATGACGCAAGATTCCCAGCTCAGTCACTGCCTTCCTTATCACCTTGGGCTAGTCTCTGAATCTACCCTGGGCCACAGTTCCCATCTGTAAAATAGGGATAATAGCACTGCCCTCTCTCACAGGGGTGCGGGAAGGATATATATCCATTAATACTTGTGTGGCACTGAGACGCTGATCAAGCCAAAAACATTTGGATCCAGATTTTGAACATGCCAGTGCCCATGGATATTTGAAGCCAAGGTTAATGCCACCTGCATCATCTGCCCTTTTGTCTTTGCAATCCCCCCACTCCTCCATTTACATTACCGGGAGTCCTGCACACAGAACAAGGACAGGGTATGGTCCCAAGGGGAGTAAACACTCTTTTTACCAAGAGACAAAGCAGGCAGCAATAAAAGTGTTTTCTTACATCAGCCCCTTTATCTCCTTCTTCACCCTTCTTGCCTGGTTCACCCTAAGATGAGAGAAACAAATTTCCATGTAAACGAGGAGATTTGCTATCCAAAGTCATTCAAATCCCCTCCCTCAAAAAAGCCCCATCAGCAGAAAGCAAACTGAAATCACGATGTATATCATCTGTTCGTTTAGACAGGGTGAAATTCAGCTCCTGCTGGCTGGGGGGAGTGTCTACCCATTTACACCACAGCTGAACTTGGCCCAGAGCGACCTGAGCTATATGATGTTTGCAGTGCAACGAACCATTGTCTGATGGCTGCGGCCAGAGACCTCGACCAAAACCCTGTGCGTATCGTGAGGCTTTCCCCGTAAGCAACGCTTTACACTAAAACCAGTAGGGAGTTAACTAGAACCCCCTCCAAACATGCACCCTTTGCCTCTACGCTTATTTTTCCAGAAAAATCCATATCCACTACGCAAGAGTCCCGTTAATTAGCCACATCACCCTCCACCTCCCTACAAGATGCTCATTACATTTCTACTGAAGAAAGATCCCTGGTTATTGCGACAGTTTGTCTGACATTCCCCTGCTGCCCACTCATCTAATCAGGAAGTGTCTGCATTTCCCAAGCAGCAGATGGCATACACAGAGTAAACCACAAGCTAAATAAAGAGCAATGGAAAGGTCCACGAACTGCTGAGTAAGGTGGCTGGGATTAGAGCTTGGCTCCTCAGCAACATTGGGCCTGGCAGAGAGATTTAAAGCAGAGCAAGATAGTAGTAGAGATGGGAGACAACCATGTCAGGCAAAACAAGAGCCCTCTAACCTCCCCCGCCCCACAACATTTCCACCCAAACTCAAACTGAACCCAACTCTTGGTTGGATTCACTCACTTCTCCCTAATATTTTTGTTTTTACCAGACCTGCATGTGTAAATGTGGTCTTAGCTTGAGAGAGGTTGTTCCAGAGGAGTCCCAGCCTGGCCAGAAGCTGGTAGTCCCAGAACTAGTGGGAGAAAGCCTGTTCTCGAGAGATTTCCAGCCCAGTCTTGCAGATAAAGGAGGGTTGGAGAGTTCAGGCTTGCTGGTGGAATTTCAACGGCTTAGCCACAGGGCAGATGGTCTGTTCAGAGTTCCAACATGGGAGGCAGCTTTATAGTCCTGTCAACAGGAGACCTGGTAGGAGGCAGCTCCTGTGGGGCTGCGCTAAATTAGCATGTCCTTCCTGCTTCACTGGCCATGACCCCTTCATGATCATTGCTGTCCACCTGTGCCCCCTCCCCGGCAATAGGAAGGTTTCATCCACCTTGCCACGGCCCCTCTCAACCCTCTTCGTGCCAGCAGGATGTCACCAGGCTGGCTTCTGCTGAGCCTGTAAGCACTTTGCAGCAGAGACCGAACAAAAAGACTGTTCGTACTGCACCCAGCACAACGGAGTTGTGATCCATGACTGGGTCCACTAGGCACTACCACAATACAGATAAACAAGTATAGACGCTAGAGCAAATCTGGCCTCATCAGGGTAAAGCAGAGGTGGTACGTCAGATCTATCTTTTGCACAAATCTTTTGCTACCAATTTTTCACTCCTGAGGGAAGAACTATGGTTGGTGGAGCACTTCTCTTCTTAACAAGCTCTTTTTGCTAGACTACTAGCCCCACTCCTAGATCCAGCAAAGAGAGAGAGAAGACCTATGAGATCATGCAGTCGAGCTCCTCAACCCCAGGCAGGTACAGGGTATTTTCTACTGCTTTGTCCACTTAACTCTAAAGCGTAGCACTAAAATGCAGTGTTTCATTTCCACAGATCTCAGAGATGCTGTCTCCTGACCTGGATGTTGTATTAGCAACCAGAGAGAACTTGTTGTACCAGCCACAGTCCAGTCAGCTGGTATTTAAGGTGCTGGACATGACATACACCCGCACCCCGTCTCTGCGTGTGTGTGTGTCTGTCTCTCTCTTGTGCATGCGCGCACACACACGTCACTTACAGGCCGTCCCTTATTGCCCCTCTCTCCAGACAGACCTGCTTGCCCCTGTTGGAAATAAAGCAAGTGTCATTTTTTCCCCATTTGATAACAAAATTTAATTTTACCAGTGGAATTAAAATGGCTTAACAAATAAACTCATGAGACAGCGCGAAAGTTCTTTTCCCTCAATTTTATTGCTTTCAGCATGCAAGCAGGCAGCAAAATGGGTAATCTCTCTCAAGCACTAGTTCTGAATCCTCTCAACATTTGGGGAAGTTTGGTTCAGGATCTCAGGCCGATCTTTGTAAAATGGATTTGCAGCCTCTTGAACTTCAGAGACGTCAACTAAGTTAAAGCGGGGAGAAATTTGGCCCTTGAGTTTTCCCCCCAAATACAACATTCTTCCATATAGTATAATGGATAGGCTAAGACTGCGCCATTGAACAAAAGACTGCAATATCTAATTATGATTTTCCGTTAAAACTCCATCACATACCCTTTTAGTTGTCTTCTGCACACATGCTCCCCGTCTGATCCACAACTAAATTTCTCTGCATAGATTTTTTTGATGAAAAATGGCTTTTTGAATTATACAATTTTTTTTCATAATTTTCATATTCTAAATTTTCTGGGGCGGTTTTGGGTGAAAGGATTCAAAACAACAGTTTCAAACCCATTTGAAAAATATTTGTTTTGGTTCAAATAAAAAGGAATCAAAATGGCCATTTTTGTATTTCCTTTCCTCTACTGCCTTTTCCTCCTTTTCCCCTCTGGAAAAGAGGGAAGTACCCCTAACATGAATTTTTTTTAAATTTAGATTGATTTCAAATTGGCTCAAAATTATTTTCTCAAGAAAATCTGAAAATTTTCAAATGAATTGAAAAAACCCTTTCATTGCATTCTAAATATTGTGCAGAATATACTTTCCATTTTCTGACCTGCTATAGCCACCCCTTCCACATCCCTTTGTTTGTTTGTTTTTTTGCTGCTATGAACCTTCCAGCTGGATGTAGGATTTTGCATTTGACAGAAAAGTAGAGCTGCCTTTCATATATATATATTTTTCCCAACTGTTGCTTCACTGGTTTTATATGAAGAACCAATTCGGAACAAGATACTATATCAAAAACATTGCATTAGAGAGACCTGTGCGACACTTGGTGACAACTGCTGGCAGAACTATATACTGATGAGAAGGAGAAAATATAATAAGGCCCAACTGTCCCCACTGAAAGGATATGAGTTGCTTAGATCCTGCATTGCGTGAATCAGGCCATAGCAATTCACTGAACTAAGGTGGCAGGAGATACATCGTTGGAACAATTTACCAAGGATCATTGTGGATTTTCCATCATTGACAATTTTTAAATTGAGATTGGATGTTTCTTCTAACAGTTCTGCTCTAGTCATTATGTTGGGGAAGTTGTACGGTCTGTGTTATAGAGGAAGTCAGACTAGAAGATGATAATGTTCCCTCCTGGCCTTGGAATCTATGAATCAAGACATCTTGTTTATTCTCAGATATTGATAGTAAGATGGGCCCCTCCCGGTTGTTCTGCTCTGGCCTTCATCAGCTTACACAGTCTCTGCACTTTGTCCACGTGATGCCAACACTAATTCAGAGGTGCAGCATGCACTTCCCCCTACAGACTGATGATAAAAGCAGCGTGGGTGGCCAGGGATTTCATGACCATAAGCCAGCAGATATTATCTGTGTTAAAAAGCCTGCACAATGTCTAGATTGATCTTTCATTGACTTGGAAAGAACATTTATATGGGTGAACAATAGGTAAGAACATAAGAACGGCCATACTGGTTCAAATCAATGGTCCATCTAGCCCAGTGTCCTGTCTTCTGACTGGCCAGTGCCAGATGCTTCAGAGGGAAAGAACAGAACAGGGTAATTTTGAGTGATCCAGCCCCAGTCATACAGGCCCAGCTTCTAGCAGTTGGAGGTTTAGGGTCACCCAGAGCATGGGGTTGCATCCCTGACCATCTTGGCTAATAGCCATTGATAGCCCTATTCTCCATGAACTCATCTAATTCTCTTTTGAACCCAGTTGTACTTCTGGCCTTCACAACATCCCATGGCAACCAGTTGCACAGGTTGACTGTGCATTGTGTGAAGAAATAGTTCCTTTTGTTTGTTTTAAACCTGCTACCTATTACTTTAATCAAGTAACCCCTAGTTCTTGTGCTGTGTTAAAGGGTAAAAAACACTTTCCTATTTACTTTCTCAATACCATGTCATACACACCATCCTATATAGAAATGTTATTTTCTTCTGCCAATGAAAGCTTTAACTACTGCTTTGCCATTCACCTATAACAGAGCTAGTTGGAAAATGGAGTTCCCATTCCCCAGGGAATTCCAAAATTGTGTTTTTGTTCCAAAACAAAACAAAAAGTAGAAATTTCAAACTAACTTACAGAATGGAAATTAAACAATTTCTATTTATCAAAACAAAACAGTCTTTTTCTAATGTTGAAATGTTATATTTATTATATATAAATAGTCAAAATGAAATGAAACAAAACATCTGATATTTTTCCAAATGAAATGAGTCTAAAATAATTTTTAAAATTTTTCCCATCAAACTTCAGCAAAATAGACATTTTCACGTCAAATATTTCAGTTTCAACACAACTGTTCCACTGAAAATTTTTCAGCCAGCTCTAATCTGTAATATTTAGCAAGGGCATAAACTATGGAATTAAGCCACCTATAAAGAAGTCAAATGACTAGTTACATACAGAGTTCTCTTCATAAATAAAAGTGGCCTTCACTGAAAACTGAAATAAACATCTAATTGAGATAAGCAGTATTTGGTAGCTAGGTCTGAAAGACCACTACATTTATCAGCAACCTCTGTGTCTTATTTGCTTTCAGTGTATGTATTGTACAATCTAGTTTGAATTGTTGTTGTTGCACTAATGTAAAATCTGGAGCGATGCAGGTTAAGCCTGTCACTAGTTATGCTCATGGGCTTGGAGAGTCTCCAAGCTCATCTGAAACTAATCAAACTGCATTTGGCATTTGCCTTTCTAAGCCCTTACAAACATTGTTCTGCCCTTCAGACTGAAAAAAGCAAACAGAAGGGGGAAGATGGGAGAGAAACTGGCAAATGCAGATGATTTGTTTACCTGATTTGCCAGTCATGAGCTCCACCTAAATCTATATGCAGGTAATGCCTCTTTAAAGAAAGGAAATACATTCAGGCTGCAGCCACCTGACTCCTGCTATGGGCACATACTGGAAACTTAGCACTAAAACTTTTATGCAGCTTTCTTTCCTTTCCAGAACATGCTGCAAACACCATTACTGATAACTTTTTCATTCTGTAGCTCCACTTTGTGGACAAAATCTCCTCACAAGGATTCTCTCTTATCAATCCAGTTCCCCCAGTGCTAAATTCTTAAAAGATTTCATTCTACAGCCCCTCCTAGAAGGGTCTCCGCAAGCCACCAATGGTCCACAGGCCGTAGTCTGGCACAGTAAGTGACGGGCAGTCCTGAAGAGTTTTGGAGGACTGGGATAGCAGAAGCATCCAAAAGTTTAAATACTGCTTTGAACCTCTTTAGTCTGCCTGGACACTGGGCTGGTAACCTGGTGAGAAGAGGCTCTCGCATGTGGTTTTGGGGTTTTTTTTGGGTACTTCCTAATCTTGGCCAGCTTGGAAACAATACTCAGCAAACTCCTCTTGCTGTATTTTGGGCATTAACACTTCTATGTCCTTGACAAAATAAGCAAGGATAGCGAGAACATGACAAAATGTGAAGTAAAAGCAAACATTTTAAGAACATTATTTGACCCTGAAAAATGGCTCCGTTTCAGAATAGTTCTTATTCTCCCTAACATGCTTTGCCCTTCTTTTCCAGTCGCAACATGATAACTGAGCTAAACCATCTAAAATGCTAGGTACTAAAGTGTTTATAGTAAAATCTGTTCCCAATAGACATTATGGATCAAGTGTCCACTACTCTGAAACTTTCAGAGGTAACTTATACCCTGTGAAAATAACATGTCCCCTCTGCCTGTGCAATGGTTTCCCTTACTGATTCTTGCATAATATTCTGAACTTATGTTCACCTAGTCAGAGATGGTCCACTGACTTCAGTGGACCTATGTTGATTTCCACCATCTGAGGAGCTGGCCCAGAATTGGTTGTGAATCTTTACATGTGATAAAAAGTTTTAACTTACTCTTTCTCCTCGATCTCCTTTGGAACCTTTCGGTCCAGGCTGTCCTGGAGAGCCCGGTACACCCTAGAGGGCAGATGCAGGATAAGAGGACATTAGTTTCCATTATGTATGTTTTGAATGGAACAGTAAATGAAGTCTCCAATTAACATCTTGCTGTTATTGTTAAAGATGGTGGGCTAGATTCTCTGCAGCCCGAGAGCCTGCGTAGTGACTTACCCCGGGTGACGTGAGTGTAAAATGTGACTGTCTTTTTATCTTATAAGGTACTTCTGTGGCCCTGATCATCATAGCATCTTTAATGCACTTATCCTCATAACAACCCTGTGAGGCAGGGCAGTGCTATTATCCCTATTGTACAGATGGGAAACTGAGGCACAGAGAAGATAAGTGACTTGCCAAAGGTCACACAGGAAGTATGTGGCGAAGCATCCGATGATAGCATTTTGCACACTCTTTACACAGGTGTAAATGACTTCACAAGGTTCAAGGCAGGGACCGTCAGCCATCATGGACCACACAGATAGAACACACCCACCTTCCAATGGTCTGGGGAGCTCTACAATTACATTTTGCACATTCAGGATAGTTGAACAGTGGGAGTAGCCTGTCACGCGGCCCTTTCAAGGAAATGGTGCATCTGAATAACAAGGCCTGCAGTCCAGTTCAGGATGGACAGTGGTGCATATTGCAGCCATTACTTGGTCCCTTGTTATCAGCCTCTGCAGAAGGCCAAGGACTGAATGGGAATGGGGGCTTAGAGAGCCTAGAAACAGTCCTGGCAGGTTAGGAGTGAGATACTTTCACAGGGCTGGGTTCTTATGTTATCCTGCACAGTTAACTATGCAAAGGAATAACAGACCAAGATGTCTTTAGACCTTGTTTGCAGCAGTCCCTTGCAGTAGTCATTAGGGTGGGTACTAACACCTCACAAATAGTTACGGAGAGTCGGAGGATAGAACGCAGAGTATCAACAAACAGTCTTCTCTTCCTATCTTGTTTGTAACACTATCGTGGCTTTGTTTGGTGTTTAAAGGGTTAAGATCAATATCTGCAAAGGAGTTTAATTACCAGAAGTCTTGAGACAAAGCCATTCTTCTCCATTGGTGACTGTTTTATAGATTTATTCAACCCAGGGAGCAAAATTATTAGCACACATTGGGCTTAATTTGAAAATTGTTTATTTGGGTGAGTGAATCTCATCAAAATGGTTTCAAATGTACAATCCAATTAATGTTAGGTCTGTATGCTCACTCTGGCCATCCTGCTGGGATGCTTTCATACCATAGGAATGGCCTTTGCCAAACTTTTATGGGGTGCTGCAAAGCTTCAGCAAACGGCTTTACGGTAGCGTCCAGAATCTAAAGGAAGATGGTAGTTTGAAGCTATCCTAGCTAAACAGATAGCTGTCAGAAGCGATGATTGATTTTGGAGGCACAAACTGAGAGGCCTCAAAGGGAGGGATCCAGTTATCAGTGGTTGGAAGTTTCAGCACTTTCTGAAAATCAAGCCTTTTTAGGGAGTCTCAAATTGCACCCCAAAAGTGAGTCACACTCCCATCACTTATGAAAATCTTAGCCATAGTGCATGACTAGGCCCTCATTAGTCATCTGGCTAAGGACATTCATAATTAAACAGGGTGAAATACTCATTTGGTACTTAATAGGAAACTAACTAGTCTCGTCTTTTGATCTATATGAAACGATATAAATCTAGGATACCTATCCATAATCCAGTTCTCCCATTTCCTTACAAAGTTTGCAGACCTTGTGGGAGAAAGATGTGGGAGCTTAAAAAAAGGGGGCAGGAGTGCAGCATCTGAGGCATACGGAAAGATGGGCAAGGGGCAGGGTGCCTCGGACAACGTTTGTTAAAGTTTTGTGCGAATGTGTTAATTTTTTCATGTAGCCTAGCTTCTCTGTTGCTGGAGCTCTGCACTGAAACCTTGATCTAAGCTCTGCTGTAGGGAGGTGTCTCACTCGTGTGCAGCTAAATTGCTCCATAGGAGTTGGAAGACTCTCTTGTGTACAGCTCAGAAGCTCCACATGAGGAGAGGGGGGGAAGCAAGAAATCATGAGATCATGTAATTATAAGACTCATAATTTCATAAGAGCAGATGGGCATCCTTAACTTTTGCATGTTTGATTCTGAGCAGTGAAATTTGTAACATTACATTAGCACTTTTTAAAGAAAAGTACAGGCAGCACTTCTGTAGTTAGTAAAGACGGGGCAGACCTTCAGCGGAGGGAAATCAGCATAGCTCCCTTGAAAACAATAGAATTAGACAAGTTTCCCCCAGCTGAAGTTTCAGCCCATCTTTACAAGCTACCTACCACAATTAAGGCTTTTTTCCCCCTGTGTACATCCTGCAAGTTCACAGGCCAGAGTTTAAGAGAAGCTTCTGTTTGTTTTGCCCTTGTGCATTACTTTACATTTAATCATATGAAATTGCATCCGTCATTTTGCGGCCAAATCTCCCAGTGTGTTTATATTCATCTGAAATTTCCCACAGTTCTCCATAGCATTTGATAATTGAAACAATTCTGCATCATTGGCAAAGTTCACCAACTTGCTGTCCATTTCGTCTTCCAAGTGATTAATAAATACACAGTAAAATCCCATTTCTCCAGTTCCCTGCAATCCCTACATCCTCCTTATCCGAACTGAGGTTATGTCCCGTAACATAAATCACTTACCCATATATATCCCCCAATTTTCCTAATTCTCTATCATCATTTTATCCATGTTTTATGTCCTTGAAAGCGTTTGGATTGGCAGCTGGACTACACATTCTGTAACGCTGTTCCAAAAATAGGTCTCCGGGGGTTCCTAACTAATTACCACTTTGACTAGTCAACTATTCATCATTACTTAATTTTTTTCTTTACCCAATTTTCAATCTGTGAACAGATTTAGCCCCTCTTTCTGTAGTTTTCCATAATAACCTTTTATGAGGGACCTTGTCAAAAATGTATGATCTACCCAATTACAAGAATCTTTTTTTTATCCACATATAATTAATAGGGCTGGTCAGGAATGTTTCCATCCAAATGTTTTTTGACTGAAAATGCAGTTTGGGGGAAATTCTGATTTTTCCCAAAGCTTTTTTGATTTTTCCATTCTGAAAAATGCAATGAAATATTTTGTCGCAGCTTGGATCAATACACATAAAAATATTTTGGTTTGTTGAACTACATTTCCCTATGATGCCTCATGGGAGCAATAGTTCAGATATCTCCTGGGCCCATTTTCTCATATGGGCTAGCTTCCCTAGCCAGACTACATATCCCATGATACAACACTGTCTCCCCTCTGACTGAACTGCATGGTGCATCATGGGAGATTTAGTCCAACCAGCCAGCCTGGCCCAGGGAGCCCAGGAGAGAAGGGGCATCAGGCACCCAAACTAAAACTCCCAAGAGGCAATGCAACCCCATAGGGAGATGCAGTTTAATATTGTTCTGACTCAAGTTTTGGTTTATTGAACTGACCCAAAACATTTCATTTTAACATTTTGCCTGGGGATATCTAAATGTTTTGTTTAGATTAAGAACACCAAAAATGAAGCATTTTGCCTTTTCCAAATCAAAATTTTTCAGAACATTTTGTTCTGAGAAAAATTTCACTCTTTCAGCTTTTTATCCTGATTTGAGATAAAAACAAAGTATTGAAATATTGGCATTTCTTGCTGGATGCAAATTCCGATTTCCACTCAGCTCTACTAATTAAACATTTCATCTCCTTTCTACAGAAATAAGTCGCTTTGCATGTAACTCCATGCTCCACTCCTCTCCTTCCCCCATCCCCACCCCCGCCCCTGCCAAGGCCTGGGATAAAATTACTTACTTGTGATCCAGGAACTCCAATAGGTCCAGGGGGTCCTTTGGGTCCTGAAGTGCCTGGGGGTCCTAGCGATAAAATCATAATCTGAGACAGTTTTAGAGACATTTAGAAAGAAGGAACCTCAATTTCAATCACACTCATTTCCTTTCATTATTCCTGATGAGAGTCTCTTACTCTCTCTACAAAAATCTCGCTTGATCATCAGGACATGGCGTAAGCACTGATATCAGACAGAAGATAGATGCACATTCTGATGTAAAACATCCTTCCGTACTGGAATTACTTCAGAGCTATATACAACATTTAAATAATGTAAGTAGTAAGAAATGCAGCAAAATTTCAGTCTCCTTTTAAATGACTATTCTTCCTTGGTCCTAAGAGAAATCTTAGATCAGGATCCACAAAGTGAGGTACTGCACCTGGGGTTTCTGAAAGAGAATGAGTGCAATACTGAGTGAAGAGATAGTTGGGCCTCACGTGGCACCGGACCCACAGTATTCTGAGGATACATGACTGCAGGAAGGGGGTTGTATTTAGCCACAGCTAAAATGGAGGGGTTGACATGACTATATAAAATGCCTCTTCGCGGCGGATGTCAACTCTGCTCCTGCTGAGGCCAACAGTTACAGACTGGTTTTTCCATCGCTCTGAAGACCGCATATCCCTTTAACAAAGCTTTGCCTCTACTAGTCCAAGGCCGGTGAGCCCAAACTTTTGCAGCCAGGCCCACTTGCTTTTCCTGGCAGGCTTCCCGTCGGCGTAGAGTGACCAGACAGCAAATGTGAAAAGTCGGGACAGGGGGTAATAGGAGCCTATATAAGAAAAAGACCCCAAAATCGGGACTGTCCCTATAAAATCAGGACATCTGGTCACCCTACGTCGGCGTAAACTATGCCACTAGATCTTTCACTCACACTCACATTCTCACACACACACACCCTGAGAAGAATCTTCAGTTTGGTTTCTCCTCATTAAAGCTGTCCAGTTTGATTGGGTCTGTTACCTGGTGGCCCAACAGGCCCTGGTGCGCCACGTGGGCCTGGCAAGCCAGCCAGGATCGTGTCGATGATGGTGGAAGCCAGCTGGGATTCTCCATCTGTGGTAAAGAGCAGAGGAATTAATGATTGAGAAAATTATCAACTGCAGCGTCCAGTCAGTCAGGGTTTCACACTGGGCTGTTTGAAAGCTCGAGCTAGCTGTTGGCCAAGGAGAGAGTGAGTGTTTAATTAGGTGGAATTCTGACCATTAGAACAATTTCCCTGACCGTTCTGAGGGGAATTCATCCAGAAGCTCATTGAAAAATAAAAAGCTGTGATTTTCTACCAGAGGCTCCAAAGCAATCATCTCATTCTTCAGGCTCTATACATTAGGCCATCATGTGCACAGACTGGCTCCGGATCAAGTGCGTTTGCATTTAGTCTCTCAGTCCCAGACACGCCTCTTGTTCATCCCTCCACACTGTTTCTTCCAATTGCCCCAAAGAATTTTCCCCTCGTTCCAAATCAGTGTTCTTGCTAAATTACTGAATCCTGCTGCCAGTCACCAAAGCAGACTGGATAGCGCCCCCTTCAGGGAGCTGAGTGGCAAAAGGCTGCTACTGCCTTGTATAGCAATAGTGGTTTTTTTCAAAGCCTAGATATGTCACCTCTAAGACATCTGGTTTCCAATGATCCAAGAAGTCATGTATGAACTCGGAGTCTCCATGTGGCTGCCCAATGCGCTGGTGTCAATGCTACTGCATGATTATAGCAGCCCAAAGCATTGCCACCAAACCGATGTGGTAGCCAATATGCAGCCACCAGGTTAAGTGCCTGGGTCCAGCATCTCAGCCCAACACACTAGCTATGGACCCATATGCTATTATACAAATATTTTGCAGTCTATTAGGGTAGCACCTTTCATTTGACGATACAAAAGCGCTGTAGGCAATATGTAATTTTACAGATGGAGAGACTAAGACACAGAAGTTAAGTAACTTGCCCAATGTCACATAGGTAGGAATAGAATCCAGGTATCCTGACTTAAGTGAAGATTCACAGTCCACTGCTCTAGCCACTTGAACCTAACCAATTCTATAGCCTCAGGAATTTATTCCTCTGCTGGCTTTGTTGCTGTTGGCCTTAACTGTAATCAACATTTCTCTAGTCTTCTGACCTTCCTTTGGATTCATAAGCAGAGGCAGTGAAGGACCAGGTGAGAAGAGACTCACAGGCATCTTCAAAACTTGAAAAGAAAAATGTAACAAAACCCTTCAATTAAACACTACAATAATACAAGCCATGCTACTTCAGCAGTTCCTTTCAGGGGAAATGGGATGGAAGTGCTAACTATGGCTTGAAGAAACAATTTATATATAAAATATAATCTATCACTTAAAAATAACCGCATCTTTGCTGCAGACTCCCCAACCATGGGGCTCTACCAGGGTCTGGTCAATGGATACTGCATAGTACAGTTATCCATGACAGAAGGCCTTCTGAAAAGCCAGATTTTCCCCAGCTACTGCCCCCCACAATCTAGAAACTTCCATTTCCTCATGCCTGTGATCTCAAACCTCCACACGTCCATTCCCCTCAGACTTTTAGCTCACTGGGCTACCATTAGATGGGATTCTTTCCAGGCACAGAGGGGCAAATTCACAGTGGTACATAGAGGGGTTGCTCTATATTTACATCAAAGATCAATGGTGGTGTTGCGTACTCTGCACTGGCATAAAGGAGAGCAGAATTTGGCCCAAAAAATGAGTCTAGTATAGACATTTTGGAGGATTTTCACCTTTGGTGAAGCAATGGATGTTGGTCATGGATAAGGGTACAATAGCAATAGTGATGATAGATCAGTGATCTGATCCAGCATGACATATGCTATGGAACGCTGGAAAACAGCCATAACTCCAGATGCCCTCAGGGACAGGGCATCTCTGCACTGGAGTCCAGGAAGGGAACCACCATGCCTTGAACACTGAACCTAGGTCTCTTCTGGGGCAGAGTCAAACACACAAGGGCTGAACTCAAACAGGTAATTCCTTGACCATCGTTTTTGACCGTAGCCATCTTTCCTTCTTTGCGGCCCAGAAACTAAACGTCTGAGAATGCTTTCATGTTCAAAGGGAAAGGTACCCAAGTGAAGTGTGTAATCCAATTAATCTGAGTTTTATTTGACCATGTCAAAATCCATCAGGGTTTGTGAGTGAGACGGAATCGGAAAATGAGCATCGAACAGCAGAGAATGCATTAACAATTTCAGGGGATTTTTTTTTTTTAAAAGAACAAGCAGTCAACAAAATTAAACATCCTTAGGGGAGGTGGGATGGGGTAGTGGGATTGCAAACTAATAGGATTTAATTATTGCTGAGGGGAGTGAATGTGTGTTGCAGAAAATTCCAGGCAAAGAGGATATTAGGATGATGACAAACAGAGTTACTCCTCACAAATCCACACATCTTGACATTAGATCAATTCGACTCAAAGTTATTTATGAAAGGTGCTTCTCTAATTGTGACACACGGGGAGGGGGGAACTCTGCTGGGGAGCCCTTGAGCTCAATAGCTCAGCATTTGGGCCGTGCAGCATGCTGGGGTGAAACTCTATTATCGCTCCTTCCTTGGTAGCGCAGCCAGGGAAAACTCACCGAAGCACTGGCTGGCTAAAGAGGACCAGCACAATGTTTCCTAAATTCCTTCTATGGGGAGAATCCTGCCCCTCTCCTCCCTTGTCATATAGGGCTCCAATTACAACACACCTAGTGCACATCCACCATACATGGGGGTGGGATTTGGGGAGACCACATCCCCCCTGCAGTCTCTGTATCCCCACAAAGCAGCAGGTCAATCTGGGAGATCCAGTGGCTACCTGCATCCTCCGGTCTTTCCCTCTCCATACACATTGGGGTCAAAGGAGACCCTGGGACTTGTGCAGCTCAGGGCTACAGTAGCAACCACAGAGTAGCTTCAGGGTCATTCAACAGCAAAGAGATGGAGGATCCCTCCCCCCCACCGTGGCTCTCACTGAGTTGCCTGCAGCAAGTCCAGCCACCCTGGCTTGTCGATGTAACAGGCCAAATTCTGCCCTTGGAGGCAGGGGAGTATCTTTCCCATTTAAATCACCCTGATGTACAAGTTGCTCCAGACCTTTCCAAACTCCCAGCTGGCCCAAAAGTGCTCTAACAAGCCAACTGTTCGATATGGGCAGGGCTAGGGATTTGAGCACGTAGGAAGGGAGAAACTTAAAAAGTGGCTGAAATCTATCCTGAGAGGCAGTGAAGCTTGTTCACCTGTGTAGCAGCCACAGGCATCCCAGGTACCTGGATGTGCACAATTTTCACAGCCACTGGAACAGTTTTCTAAATGCCAGCCCCAATCTCTCTCCTCGCTTTCCCCGCCCCATCCCATCTCTTTCTCTCATTCCTCCTGCTCCGTTCCCTCCCACTCTTCTCTCTTTTCAGAAAGGCCAGTGGATCAAGCACTGAATGGGCAGCCAGGAGATCTGCGTTCTGTTCCCTACCCTGCCACTGAACTGCTGGTTGACCTCTGGCATGTCCCTTCCTTGCTCTGTACCAGGATGGGTTTCTATCTTAAAGCAGCTCACAACAGATATAAGACAGTGTAACACCCTCTGATCAGAGCAAGGTATTATTTCCCCCTCCCTTTCCCCAGAAAAGACTCCTTTCATTTCATAGCCCTTTTGATGAGGGCTCTAAGATAATGTACCCAAAGCCTGCCCCTCCCATCTCTAAGTGCCAGAGCACACAAGTTGCCCATTCACCTACAGACACAGTGGCAATACCAGGTCTTGTTTAGAATCTGGCCCCTCTCAAACGATTCCGTGTTAAGGATAAATTCTCCCCATTAAAGGCTTGATTTGTTGAGACAGGATGGAAATGAAGTAATCCTGTCTTAATTTCTGCCCGCTACCTGATCTGGAGAGACACAACTGGGACCAATTTCTCTACCGCAGTGCAGCGAAACTGAGAAAATGCTTGTCTCCCCCCTTTTTGGCTTTTGCCTGCTGATAAATGGGGCCAACAGGAACTTGTTGGGGTTAATAAAACACGGACATTAACCATGATCAGGCAGAACCCGAACACTGGTTAATAATAATCGGATACAGCTTTCTCCCACAATGTGGGTACACATGCTCATTAGCTGGGGTATGCTTCCCTCTGCTGTCAGCAGATGGGATCTTATGGTTATGGTTTTCAGATGTGCTCCGTTTAAAAAAAATCCTGTCTGGCATTTACTGAGCCAGCTTCTACTGCCTGTTGAGAATTAGCTTTCCACCAATCCGCGGCAGCACAAATCCGCTAACAAGAATGAAAGGGCAAATCATATAGAATGAATACAGTAAGATCATCCTGCCATGTTAGTGATCTATCCTATTAGTGAGCCTTGTATTAATCACAAGAAGAAAAAATAAGTAGGGATTGTTTAGAGTTTAACACTTAGCTACAACAATGATGGCGGCTCTATGAAAATCTATATTAGACAGATAGGGTCTCTAAAATGCTTAGCATCACTCTCTGCACCTAGATGAGATTCTAAACCTATTAACATCAGTAGAGCCAGGATTTCAACAGTGGGTAGAGATCTTGCAAGGCCATACACTGGATTGAATTTCACTGCTACTGAACATTTGTGGAAACTAGACCAACATGTATACTGAATGTGCATCTATAGGAATCGGCCGAATGCCATGATTCTTGCCAATTTCCAGTCTCAAAGATTTCATCCGACTGAAAAAGTTGAGGATGCAAAATTTCTCATACAATGTAGTCACCTACATAAAGGGGCAGTGAGTAACCGTTTTCCTTTTGAGGATTATGGGGATGGAGAGAGGGAATTCTGATATTGTGAGACCAAGACAAGAAGTCAAGATAAAGCAGTAAATGGTCTTCAAAACTTACTGTGTTTGCACTAGGTGAAACATTCTATGCTATGTATTCTGTATAAATTCGCATACCATGACTACGTTGGGGTTCCCACGAGCACTCTTCTGCTCAGGTCCCCACAAATTGAGTTTAGGCCTACAGACTATTGTCTTCAATCAATTGGAAGTAACACATTCATAGATTCAAAGCCAGAAGGGGCCACAGTGACCATCTAGTCTGACCTCCTGTATAACAGAAGCCAGGGAAAATTCATGGTTGAACTAGAACAGTATTTTTTTTTTTTTAGAAAAACATCCAATCTTGATTTTAAAATTGCCATTGTTCTGTCTGATCAAAGTACTCATATTAGTAGGAAATGCCAGGGATTTTATAACTTTTTTAAAAAATAAAAGGGTAGAGTCTGTAATTCAAGGGGAGATTGCTCAATGGGCCAATCATCCAGGCTAGTTTCTGTGCCAATTTGAAATCAGTGGCAATACTCCCATTGGCATCACTGAGTACAGGATTACGCCTCAACTTTGAAACATTCCTGGACGGAATGACTGGGTAAAATCATTCTTCCAAGGCAGAGAAATGGGGTCCCATGCAGTATGTCTCTTTCATGAGACTAGTGTCCTGGCTGCTTTTCAGGGCTACCCAGGAGAACATGGCACTTTTCACAAGTACATAGGTTTGTCAAAGTTCATTTTTTCCCTGCCACTCTTTCATGCTGGCTGATTGCTGCCCTCCAAGAACAGGCGGTGTTTCAGTGGTTCTGTATCTATCATTTTCAAAGTGCTTTGGGATCCATTGAGATGAAAGACTATGGAAATACACAATGTTACGATTGCATCAACACACAGTAATTGGTATGATCCTCTAAGAAGCCAGCAAAATCTCCTAGTGATAGTAAATACAGTGGTTCACTCTACATTTTGCTAAAAGCCTGGGTACTGAGCCACAATGAATTTAATCCTGCCCATAATACTCTAAATAATTTAAGACAGAGCGATGCTGCTAAAATCTTTAACTAATTAAAAATACATCCACTCTCCTTCAGGAAAAGGAGGGTGAAGTGGGAGGTAGGTGGAGGGGAAGGAAATCCATAGATCATTATCAGACACAAAGACACTTACTAATCCTGTGGCTGTAATTACAATATTTTGTCTCTGAAGCCGGAGGTGAGGAGAACAGCTGGCACTGTTTAGGGGTAGGGTGAGTATTGCATTAGTTTTCTAGCACTTTACTAGCCAAAGGGAAGATATTGCTGAGTTTCAAAGTATCACTACTGGACCCGAGTAGTAGAACTCCCTGCCAGAAGTGACCAGAACAAGGCCAAACCTGACAGTGCACAGACTGGTGTGTAAAATGTACCTTTACTAGAATGCCTTTCCATGCTCTTAAAAATATAACTAAACAAACAAGTACAATATTTTAAAAAGCCAGCCAGTGCACCAAAATCCATGCCCCTCTGCCTACAGGAAGGGAAGGAGCAAAACACTTTCTTATCTTGGGCTGTCAGGTTTTTTAATTCTGTGCACTACATAGATGCTAGGGTTTATAGATTCACCGTTTATAAAGCCGGAAGGGACCACTGGGATCATCTACTCTGACCTGTGTAATACAAGCCATAAGACTTCCCCGAATTAATTCCTGTTTGAACTAGAGTATAGTAAAACATCCATAGTATTAGGTGCTATGTTCAAGCAACTGCTAGACAGACAGACAGATGGGGGGAGGGTGGGGCAGCAGGAAACTAGATCTGTATTTATTGTGTGCCTATGTTTTAAGCCTAGTTGCATTAGTTCTGATTTGTACCCCATGTCCTGACTCTTGCTTTCAGTTATCCCAGGTGTCCCACTGAAATCCCAAAGCTGATTTCAGAACAGAATTTGGCTCAGAGCATTATGGTTCAAACAGGGAGATTTTCCCTTTCCCTGATTGAGAAGATTGGAGAAAAGAAGGGTCAGTTTTGACACCACAATACCACCACCCCCGTCTTATCATCAGTAGATGTTCTGATGGGGCTAATCTGGGGCACAGAGAGATGAAATGACTAGCACAAGGCTCACCCAATAGGCCCGTGGCTGACCTGGAACAGAACCCAGGTCTCCTGAGGCCTAGTCCAGTGCTCTAGCCACTAGGCCACACAGCCTCCCCCCTTCCCCTGACGTAGAAGACAATCCCAATGCAAGACTAGCGAAGCAGAGGCAGCAGAGGGAGCCATTTGCAGGCTAAATAAAGAGTCTACAAACATGGCAGGAGCACTGACAGGCAACACAATGAAAGAGACAAGCAGATGATACTGTCAGGTTCTGAAGGGTACAAGGAAGCCACTCAAGAAGTATGCTCCTTTGTTATTCCAACTTGTACTAAACCGCTGAGGTTCTCCTTGCAACTTTCCACCCTTACAACTAGAATATTCTAGGGCTGCCACTTTTGAGAGGTAGTTTGGTGGGTCAAACACGAGTGTCCTGAAATTGTGACAGTTGCTCTGTGATGTCACACTCTCAGCTCATTGTAGTGCCCCATCATCGTGTTATCACCTAACATCACACGGGTTGCATCATCACGATGCAGCCTCAGTTTGATTTGGAACCCGATGAACATCCAGCAAACTAGGCTTGCGTGCGGTAGTCGCCTCTTTAAAATTGGGACAATCCCAGACAAACTAGGACATGTGGCAGCCGTAAACCCTCCCCCATAACCCCAGTCCCATAAACTACCCAGCTATGCTTCTTCATCCAGACTCAAGTAACAACCTGAATGAAGAGTTCAGGTTCATCAGCAGGGAGAGATGGGACAATTTGACTTCTGTCCTCCCCCAAAACTTGTTCCTCTGCCTAAATACCTAGCAGGATCAGTAAGAGATGCAGGTCATCTGTCTCCTCCAGTGAAAGTTGGGACATGGTAGCACCGGGCAGGGAGGGGAAGAAAACATCTAATTTCCTCGGCACAGGCTACCAGCCTGTCACTCACAGATGCACCCGGAAAGATGTGGACACTGAAAGAAACCTACTTTCTTTTTCAGCTGTGGGCTGCAGCGAGTAGAGAACCCCTTGTTGGACAGTGAGTGGAAGGCCTGGGGTGGCAGGTGGCCCCGGAGGTCCCGGAGGTCCTGGGATCCCAGTTTCTCCTGGAAGTCCTCTTGGTCCTGGAGGTCCCAGAAGCCCTGCAAAGAAATAGAAGAGGAGATTTCTGACAAGTTGGAGACACATTAGCAGATGTACTGGGGCAAAGAGTAAGTACAAAGCCTACCAAGCTGCTGGAAAGAATTTAATCTAAGTCTAGAAATGCTGTTGCCCAATAACAGGAGTTGTCAGAAGGGCTGAGATGAGCATCTCTTCACCCTTGGATCCAGTTGCAGGGCTTGGGCTGTGCTGGTGAAGTCTGTGGCCAGTCACAACCCTTACACTGGCAAAAACCCCAGTAAAAGGAAAAGTCTCTGCTCTTGGAGGATGGAATGTTCTGGGCTTCTGCTGCTGGTGAGGGATGAAGTGTACCATTTAAAATGATTCTAGAAACTGCGGCTATTCAGTGTGGAATGGAGCAGTGGAAGCTACACAGAAAAAGGGTTAATATTAATATTAATAGTAATACTTTGCAGCTTCTATTTTCAGAGCACCACACAAGCCTTCAGGAAATTTCCATGACACCCATGAGAGGCAGCTAAGTTCGCATCATTATCTCCCTCTCCCTGCTTTTATAGATGGGGAAACTGAGGCATGGAAGGATTAAATGATTTTCACAAAGCAAGCCAAGGGCAGACCTGGCATCACAGTTTAGCACTGCCTAGCTCCCAGCCTTTTGCTGAGCCCATCACACATTGATTCCTGCCAGGTCAGAGGTGAAAACAGGCAGTTATTAATAGAGCTGGTCCAAAAAAAAATGTGTATGGAAATTTTTCATTTTTTAACAGAAATCTGAATACTAAAAAATTTTGGTTTTCAGTGAAAATATTCCAATTTTGGGGTGTTTGGTGAAAATCAAACACTTGTAGCAAAAAACCCCCAATTTTCCACTGAAAAACCCTCATTTACTAGTTTAAAATGAGTGATTCTTTTCAATAAACTCCACAAGACACTGCGGAGGATGCGCAGGACAGAACAGCTTCTCTGGGGAAGAGTTTGAAGATTTCTACTAGAAAAAAATATTCATTATCGACCGAACTTGTAGGAAATGGGGTAGGGGGGAGAGAAAGAGAATGATAAGCAGTAGTTTTGGCTCAGAACCACATCTGGTAAGTGAAATAAAAGCCCTTTCACTTGGCTTGAAATGTCATCAGGTACCTGACAATGACAGCAACACAGTCCCACCCTGTCCCGATTAGCAAAATGCAGAGGATTTTTAACTTTTGTCAGAGGTGTGGTGTGGGCATTCGTCACCCCTGAAAGTCAGCTCACTCTTATTTAGTGGTCCTAAATATGAATAATTTGGGGCTGAACCTATTTTGCTTCAGTTTCCCCGTCTGCAAAACGAAGATCATAAGGACTGACCGGCTCAAGGGCATTGTGAGGTTTAACAACTTAAAGATGAAACTCACCCCTGTGCAGAGGGTCCGCACGTGGGCTGGAGTTCTACATAGGCCTCACGCTGCAATTCTGTGGGGAGGGGAAGAAATCACCCTAATGTTCAAAGGGCTTTGAGTTTCTCCGATGGAAGGCAGCGAAGAAATACAAAGTATTATTCTGAGCGACCCTCTCAAGCAGGTCGGGAACCCAATCGTGCAATGGGCAGATTAATGCTGCTCTCTTTGGGGCTGGAGGGATCTCTCGTTTCTGAGGAACCAGAGTCAGACATCCTGGACCAGACCTCAGCCATTTTCAGGACCGCAGCAAATGCCAAGACGTCTCTGGGGCCACTCTCACATTTAAGGCACACTCCAGGTTTCAAATGTTTCCCTGGCTTGGAGATTTATGAAGCACTGCTAATCAGTACGTATGAACCACAAACGCCGCTTGTCTGGCACTTGGCGTAGCATTGTCTCCATCACAAGATTTAGTAACAGTTAAGTCTCCTAGCTCAAGGATAGGTTACACTCAGAAGAGACGGCCCTATCTATAACACTTTCTTTTAATGTAGACAGCGTTATTGTTTCAATGTTAACCATCTGATTGCTTGATGTACCTGATGAGAGAAGCAAAATTCCTCCCCATGAACTAGGCATGCTCCCCTAGACCAGGACGCAGCAATGAATGGGCTAAACAGGAAAAAAGTTCTTCTCTGCTCACTAGCTGGACAATGACTGGTTTTACATCTCCTATTGGATGCTGCTGGCATCCCAGAATAATCACTCTTCAGCTACATGGAGGGGCTAAGGGGGTGTCTACGTTAATTTAAAACTTTCGGCCCAGTCCTGGGAGGGGCTGAGTGTCTTCAGCACTCACTGATCCGTGGGAGTTGATTCAATGGGACCTAAAGATGCTCAGCACGTCATGTGATCAGGCCCTTTCTGTGCAGAGGAGTTTGTCCAGAGTAAGAGGAACTTCCTAGCACGAGTTCCTCTCAGAGACTCACCTGGTGGCCCTGCTGGCCCTCTCTCGCCAGTTTGTCCCCTGTCTCCTTTTGGTCCCGGTGGTCCTGGAAGTCCAACTGGTCCAATTGGGCCTGGGGACCCAATCTGCCCTGGTAGCCCTGCAAACATTCAAATAGGAAACTCGTTGGAGCTTAGGACACTGGAGTTGTTATACGTGCTTACATATCAGAAAGGAACCCAAAGAGATTTTGAAAGGTACAGCTGACTCAGGGGGAGTTCCTGCTCTGTTTGGCTGGAGCAGAGGAGAGTGGTGTTGACCCCGTGAGTGCCAGCCTACCAGAACACGGGGCAGGAAAGCTCCGCTCACCGATCACATGCTGCAGACAGCAGCATCTGTGCTAGTCAGCAGATCATGCCCATTGGAGCGTTGATTCACAGGGCAGCATGCTAGCCAGTGCCTCCATCCTTGTGTTAATCTAAAATTGGCGTGGCCACCTTCCCAAACCAGTACACCGACATGGCACAAGGCAGGGGTTTACAGAAGTCCCCCACTCCCTCTTTTGCCTGCTTAACCCAGACCCAGCCTTTAGTCCCATACAAGTGTAATATGACATGATCCAGTTGGTACCTATGTGAAAGCAGGTACTACACTGACTTCCACTACCACAAAGAGATTGTCTATTACACATCAAAGGAGTGGTATGTCTCCTCCATGCACTTAGTACTTCATTACATCTAATATATATCCCAGTTAATACAAACATTGCCCACGTCAAGAAACACGCGTGATTGAACCAAACCCAGTGTGGCAGCTAGATGTTACCCGTTTGTACCATTGAGGAGCATGCTGAACAAAAATACATGGAGATACTTGTAACACAGTGACCCCAGTTAAGTGAGTTACAGAGCAATTCCTCGGAAACCCTGGGTAAGCAGACAGAAGGCACAGAGAGCAGGGTGTACATTGTACGCAAGCAGGAAGGCAGCTCTTCCTGCAGGCTCTAAGTTGAGGAAAGGTTGAATGGTTTAAACATCTCTGCTGTTTCCTTTGGGCTGACAAAATAATAATAATGTTTATCACTTATATAGCCTCGTGCTTTAAACACTATGACCGTTCTTGCACACTAATGTAATAGGTGCTTTGGCTCTGTGTGTGTGTATGTGTGTTTGTGTAAAAAGCACTGACCAAACACTGCTTAATCCTGAAAGGTAGGTAAATGGTTTTGGCCCCAAAGAAAAGTGACTTGCCTAAGGGCACTGAGCAAGTCAGTGTCAGAGACAGGGTTAGAAAAACTCAGGAATTCCTGGCTCCTAGATCTGTGCTACCAGCGGCTTTAGAATACTCAGAAAGAGAGAGAGATGCAAGCCACAACTTTGGGGAAGTTTAGTTCTGAATGTTCAGATTTGGGGTATTGGTTCAGGCCCAACTTTACTCGTAAATGTAGCGAATGGAAAACTTAACTCTCAAAACACATAGAGGGCAGGTTTCATTTTCATACGCTTTTAAACTGTCAGATAGGGAAATGCCACCCTTTCTCTCCTCTCCACCACAGCTAGATATCAGGAGAGGCACCAGCCCCTCGGACATCGCTCCCAGCTGCCTCTGGAGGGGTGGGTTACATTGGCTGGCCAGGTAGCAGCTTCACAGCCTGTGCGCAAGGGATTGAAGATCTTGCAATAAATGCTGAACCCATGAGATCTGCAGCTCCAAGAGCTTCAGATAAGCACTGGAGACCAAATCCTTAGGGTATGTCTACACTATAGCATCATAGCTAAGTTGCTGTAGCTATACTGACACAACCGCATAGTGTAGATGCAGCCTACGCTGACAAAAGGGGTTTTTCTGTCGGTGAAGATACACCACTTCCCCCAGTGATGTCAAGGGAAGCATTTTTCAGTTGAATAGCTGCATCTACGTTGGTGGTTGGGTCGGCTGGGGATGTGTTTTTTTCACACCTCTGACCGACGTAGCTATGTTGACCTAATGTTTAAGCGTAGACCAAGCCTGAGTTACCTTTTTGGCAGATGTGGATCCGATTCCCATTCTGGGTATGCAGAGCATACTTGGGGTACAGAGCTCGCGCCCCAAATGCTCCTCCAAACTATCTGCATATCTTGGAGAGGTTCACCACAAGAGAACAGGCTTTCAAAAAGATCCCTAGTCCTTCCTTCTTTTATCTGGTTTGTAAATATTGACACACGTATTTTTCTCAAAATGTTTTGGAACTTCCACTGCTTATCCCAGCTGGATCTGGAAACGAAAACAACTGGATCGGATTTGAACGTTTTTTTAAAAATTAGACTATTTTATGCCATCAAACAGAGTTCTGATTTGATTTGAGTGCAGGGCAAAGAGTCATGGAAGGTTTTTCATTTTTCCCCCAACAAGAGTGTTCATCCACAGAACACAAAGGCTTTTCAACGTCTAACAGGGCCAGCCTCGTGGATCTGATACGGGAGTCATCTAACATGACAAGATGATAGATTTGGCAAGCTCAGGAAGGTGTGCCTTGGTCCCTTTAAGGAAAGAAGGCCATCCAAGCAGGGCACTGTAAACAGCCACTAGACCAAGTACCAAAGCTAACACACACACACACACTTCAGAATTGTTGTCACTGAGAATTCCTTCCTGCACAGAGGGAGGAATAAAAAAAAATTTGACTGTTTTCAGGCACAACGCACTGAGCTTGGGTCAAAATATGCCCTTGATCATATAAAATGGCCTCAATCATCAAGTTCAACCATTATAATTCAACCCTGTTAACTTCTACAGACTAAGAGCCATCATTTGCTGCCAACAGCCTCAATCGTGCTGTTACAGAAGAGATTTAAAGGAGATGGCACTTATTCCCCTGCAGGTAGAAAGTGCTAATGGAAGGACCAGGAGCTGCAACACTGAGTAATGTGTCAGACAAATGCTCAGACTGGTGACAAATGGTGTTACCGGCTCAAAAGAGACAAATGCAAAAAAAATAGGATACAAGAAAAGAGAAAACAAAACCGGTGGGTCAGGTCTGTAGCTAGTATAAGTCAGCGTAGCTCCAGTGAAGTCTTTCGGTGTTGATTTACACCAGCTGAGAATCTGGCTCAATGTATATATCCTTGAAAATGATGAGCGCCGGAGAGGAAGAGGAACATTGTGGCAGATTGGCTAGGGCACCAGACTAGGACTTAGAAGATCTGGGTTCTACTCATGGTTCTGCCATGTGACCTTGGCCAACTCTCTGTGCCTCTTTCCTTTCCCATCCTTTGTCTGGCTTGTCTATTTTGATTGGAAACTCTTTGGGACAGGGACTGTCTCTCATGAGGTGTTTGTTTGTATGGTGCCTAGAACAACGATGCCCTGATCTCAGTCAGCGTTTCTAGGCACCTAGCTATTTGTAATACAGGTAAATAATCATCATCAGATGTGGGTTTCTTTTTTCACTCAGTAACACATTTGCTAGCCCCTTTTGCCTCCAACTATCCATCTGGAGCAGCAATTTTATCCCTCCTTGTGCAGCTGGTATTCTAAATTCCCCAACATCTGAGGACAGAGGAAAGTCTGCCCTGGGGCGTTAATACCATGCCAACAAGGGAGAGGTAAAACCCAAAGAAGAAACCCAACTTCTCTGCACCTACAGGGCACCACATCCCCACACATCCCTCTCCGGTACTTCCCCCACCCCAAATTACAGGAGGACTCTTTCATCTGAAGCTCAGGATCTGGGCTGTACTGCATTCCTGGAGGCACCATAGATACAGAAACAAACAACATTTTGTGCTTTGAAAGAGGAAAAATAGATACGCCAATCATTTTCTCTTTGGCACTGGCTGCTCAGATGCCTTCGACTCTAATTAAAAGAGCAGAAGGGTGGAGAGGAAATGTAGATGAAAAATACGTCTCCCATTACCCATTAGCTAAAATCTGAGTCTTTTTTTTAATCCTCAGTTAAATACAGGCCTGTTGATTAACGAGCTGATCAGAAAGGCCAGTGATGCAGCTGTCTCAACAGTTCTAATTGCATTTAAAGGACTGTCTATTCTAACTCCTGTCAGTCAGGGAAGAAAGATCAACCCTAGTAAACAGTAGCAAGTTTTTCTGGATCTTAGCCTGGAAAGGTCTCAGCCAGTCAACACTACAAGGGCATTCTGAACCATTCCCACCGTTCAAAGCATCAAACCCAAACCCACTTCTAATGGGAACCACCCTTGGAACAACAATGGCAGTGGCCTAGGCAGGAGGTAACTTCCCAACACTGTGAGAGAACAGGGGAAAATATCATGCCCTTGGACCCCTGAAGTGCAGTAAGGAAATTTAAGTCAGATGGGTGGAGTCTTCAATCTTGTTCCTGGGCAGACACGGATGAGATGAAGTGCAGGTGCAGAGAGACCCCAAGAGCAAAAATAAATGACATGGGGAAGAAGGAATGAGCATCTAATGGACGCTTGGGGAAACGCTGCTTTAATTCAGTTATTGGCAACCGTAGTTGTTGTGCTAAAAATACTTTGCAGCACATATCGTTAGAAAGCCTCCCTTCCCTGTTGTGGCATCCAGTCCAATTATAAACAAGGATTACATCTGGTCTGCGTTGGCTGCATCCGTGCACCAAGCCGGCTGCAGCCGTGAAGGGCTGCCATAATAAACTGCTCCGGCAAAAAAGGAAAACAAAAACCAACTCTAGGCCCGGTGGAAGATACAGAAGAACGCTGGGAGCTGGGAAAGCAATTGTCAGACAGGGCCTTGGAAGCAGAAAGTGAGGATCTTGACGTGAGCGTGCCAAGGTCAAAGAAACACACGCTAGGAGATCTGTCTAGCCAAGACGGCTAAGCTGAAGATTTGTTGTAACTTTTTTTTTTTGCACACCACAGGAGGGATCATAAAACAGCCCAAATCGGTTTATGCTCAATTTAAAAAAAAATTGATTGTCTAGTGCCACTAATTTATCATTAACAGAACATCTTTCCTGTTAATACATCAATAGCCTTCCAGCCCAGGGCTCGCTGCCAGAGAGGTGCTACATTCTGAATACAATAGATGAGCATTAATTGTCCTTTCTAGAGTACCCCCAGGGTGTCTCGATTTTTCAGGAATGTTTCACAGTGAAAATCCCCATCCATTGGGTGTAAACATTTTCCTTACAAGACACAGGAATACCTACTGCTCCTAATGGGAGTTTAGCGTCAATGGAACCAGGAGTCAGCTCTTAGTGATTTCTTGGGCCAACACAAACCAACAAACAGACCAGTAAAGCTGGCAAAATGGGGCTGGAATGTTCCCCCCCCCCCGAGGTTGGCCGCTTTCTTCCAGGGGTGCAGTTGCTCTACCCTGCGGAGGCTGAGGAGCATGAAAAGAAGCAAAAAGCTCCTCACTTTATATAATAGCATCCTCACCGATGCAAGAACAGCAATAATGGGCTTTGAGGAAATCATATCCAGCTCCCCTTGACTGGAAGGATGGCTTGGGGGGAGGATTAAAGAGGAGAAATAGGAGGTGATCCTGCAACATTCCAGAAAACGGTACAGGATTTAGTGTCATTTTTACGTTATGCAGTTCATCTGTAACTCACAGATCTCTTCTTTCAGAGAGAAGGAAAAACGCAGTCCACAGAGCTGTGCTGCACCAGCAAACCGCCTAAACTGTGCACGCGAATCCCACGTTCTACTAGAGTGACAGGTAGCTGCACCCAAGTATACCCTTTTGGGCGTGTGAACACGAGAGCTGTGTTCACAATTTAGCAGAGAGAGACCCTGAGCTCTGGGGAAAATAAGATTCACAAATGGTCCTTACAGCTATGACAGGTCAAATCAAACTCCCACATTTGAATAGCCTCCAGCTGTGGGGAGGTGTGGCTCCAAATCTCACCATCATTGGTTCTACTCAGGGCCGGCTCCAGGCACCAGCCGAGCAAGCTCGTGCTTGGGGCGGCAGATTGTACGAGGCGGCATTCCGCCCAATCCTAGGCGGCACGGCCACTTTTTGTTGTTGTTGTTGTTCCTCTCCGGCCACCCTGTAGGGGCCGGCGGCGCGGAGGAGGAGAGCGCCCTGCAGCAAGCCCAGCAGGGCAGCCCGCGTCCTTCCCTCCCAGCCGACCGGAGCGGCTTGGAGCCCTCCCAGCAGGCGGCGCGGCCGTTGGGGCCGCGTGGCAAACGCCCCGCTGAAGCCCTGGCCGCCCCCCTTCTCTCTCTCCCTCTCCCGCTCCCTCCCCCCGCTTGGGGTGGCAAAAAAGCCAGAGCCTGCATTGGTTCTACTCCATCCCTCCAAGTTAGGCTAAGGCTTCTGAAAACACATCTCTGTGGGGTTTGTTTTCTCTTTGTAATGTATATTTTCAACCAGGCTGAAGCTCCCACCGCTTTGCTGCAGGTGCAAAGATAACTGCAGAGGCAAATCTGAGGACCTGGGCCAATAACCCTCCAGTGTGCAACTGCCCGAAGGTAGCTGGAGGCACAAGTGCTGGGACTGGCACCTGCAGTTCCCTGTAGGCTCAAAAACATGGGCACAAATGTCATGGGTGCAATTTACATCTGCCCATCTGAAAACCTTCTCCTACAACTCCCACTGTCTGACCCAATAGCTAGAAAGAACAGGAAATATTTCACTGCGAGTCATGGATGTGCTCAAACCCAAGGCAGTTTCTAAGACCAAGTAAAAACAAATAAAAGCAAGTTGTTAGTCACACAGCGCACAGTCAACTTGTGGAACTCCTTGCCTGAGGAGGTTGTGAAGGCTAGGATTACAACAGGGTTTAAAAGAGAACTGGATAAATTCATGGAGGTTAAGTCCATTAATGGCTATTAGCCAGGATGGGTAAGGAATGGTGTCCCTAGCCTCTGTCTGTCAGAGGGTGGAGATGGACGGCAGGTGAGAGATCACTTGATCATTACCTGTTAGGTTCACTCCCTCTGGGGCACCTGGCATTGGCCACTGTCGGTAGATACTGGGCTAGATGGACCTTTGTTCTGACTCAGTACGGCCATTCTTATGTTCAAGTTGCACTGAAGCAGCTTATTCATTAGTTATCATGCATAACTCACATTTGGATTTGTACTGGGCATCTGACACTACAGAAGGCAGTCAGAGCGAATGCCTGGCTATATGCTTACCAGCTGGTCCCACCGGCTTCCTCAACACGGTCCCAGGATTTACCAGGGGAATAGCATCTGGGAGCAAGTCGTCGTACCACGTGGCTGTCGTCCTGGTGATTGGCAGGTCATTCTCTGAAGTGGGGGCACGCTCTGCAGACTCGAGCAGAAGAATCTAGACACAAGTCACAGGAAGAAAAACGTAATTGGGCAAGATGGCTCCATACTCCATAACGCTGGATTCCGAGAGGAACTCAGCCCCGGAAGCTCCCATTGAAGTCAATGAGAGATGCTGGGCAATCGAACCTCTCAGGGTCAAGTCTATAAGTGACTAGGTCCAATTAGTGCACTCCAGGGACTCTACTGTGTGCCCTGAACCCCAATAGGCTTCAGTGTATTGAGATGTTTGCAGGGAGGTGCTGAACATCATTAGTATTAGGGGACAGAGCCTTTCACCTCTCTAGGTCACTTGTATAAATGCAGCTCAGGTCAGTAACAACTTGTTGAAGGGAAGCTTGGCAGCCTGTATGAAATGAATTTCGGGGCCCGAGAACTGGTACCGGTGGCAATTTTCAAAATTCTGACATTTGAAGAGGGGAATTTGGACATTTTCCCTGATGTTCAGACACAGCTCAATTATGGAATTAAAAAAAAAAAGTGGGGGGTGCAGGGGAGGTGGGGAGAACAAAGTATTTTTAAAACGGTGGCAATGTTTCCTCTTTTCTCCACACAGCTCTGCTCAATAGTAAGTCATCTTACTCAAAATGCCAGCTGTATCTGAGTTATGGGACACCACTTCCAAATAATTAACAATCGGATGTTTTCTGGGTTTGAACTGTTTGGGCTATTTAGAATGTAGGCTCCTTGGGAAAGGGGACCATATCTCCCTCTGTGCATTATACAGTGCCAAGTACACGGACATCACTGTAAATACAATATTACTATTATTCCTCTATGGCACTATAAACCGGGGCCAAGAGGAGGGCCACAGAGTCAGCAGGAATTCAGAGCACTTAGCATCTGGCAGAATCAGGACCTAATTTCCTGGGGGGGGGGGGGAGGGGTGTCAATCCACCAGATTATCTCTCCAGCAGAATTTTCTCTTGAAATACCATGTTGAGGCAATGGCTCAGTGCTGACCTGAGAAAAGTCCTGCAAAGCAACGCAAGTGCCCTTCCCTGTAGCACCACATTTTCCCCTTGTAAATCTCCTAACCATATAGGGTATGTCAGCAAGCCTCCCAGACTTGGGCTTGCGCTAGTGCTCTGGAAATAGCGGTGTAGTCAGCGCTTTGAAAAGTTGCGGCTGAAACCACCCTCGCCAGTAGTTTAATGGCTCCAGTACCAGGGTGCTGGGGCTGTGGCAGCACCCCCGGCCTGAAGTGGTTTCCATCATATTCAGGGTTTACAATTTGGTTCATTGGCTTTCAGCACCCTCACTAGGCAAATTGTTCCAATGTCCCTGTACAGAGTTCTGTGAGATGTGGTGCTTTAGGTTCATAGGGGTTAAGTGTCTCAATCTAAACCTGGCTAGTTTCCTACCCCACCGAGCTTTGTCTGGTTTTGCACCCAAACCAGCTCATTAGCTCAGGTTTTATTCTGTCCTGACTTCCCCTCATGTGATACCATTGGTTTTGTTATAAATGGTATCCTTTCTGCAAGTCTTTTTTGAACCAGCTTATAGAATTGAATAGAGAATTATATCCCTGCAATAGAAGTTATAAAGTTAACCATATGCGTAAGTGCTTTGCTGAACAGGGATAGACTTTATCTCATAGTTTGCCTGCGACCTGAGTTCAGGGTTCTGTTTCCCGAGAACAGCTAACGAGATTGCAAATAATTGAAGGGCAAGGCAAGAAACCTTTTTCTTCAGAGCTGCCTTGGGTCAAAAGTTGCCATCAACTATTGTTCACAAAAGTAATTTATATTTTAAAACTGTACTGAAATCTCTGAAATTATTTGTGATCATACTAATTATGTTGTCCCCTCAGGGGAAAGTCCTCTGGAACTTAATAGGCATGAAACCAATAGGGTCCTATAGAAGTCACTCTGGGCATCTACAGAATTAAGTCATTGATTTTCTTTAGGATTTTGAAACCCAGCTATGGAACTGAACAGAGAACTGTATCCTTGCTAGAGAATTCCACGGGTTGGTTTCAAACTTCTATAGCAAGGACACTATTCTCCATCAAATTCTGTACGACTGATAGCTCAGCCCTATAGCTGGATCAAAGATTACACGGAATAATTTGCTCAGAGAATGTGATACAATCTGTCCAAGTTATTCAATGAGTACTATTCAACCGGCTCAAGTCTTTGCTATCCAACCTCAGAACTGCTTGGGACTTCTAAGCTGTTGAGTCCTCTGTGCCCAAACCAGTTTTGGAAAATGTACTTAGAACTACAGTGCACATCTTAGTGACTCTTAAATATATGCAGTCAATGTGGAACAGTGTGTTCTGGATTATTGCGCTACGCACCTTTAAATCCTTTATAGCATTTATCAGCAGAGCACTCATTCAAAACAGGTTGTTTTAATGCAAAAGACTCCATTGCCACTGTTCTGTGCTGATTATGTGGTAACTCGTTTTTATTATCACCCACAGAAATGACTCGGAACTGTTCCATTCCAGACGTGAACTTCGGTGGAACTCCATCAGCTCCGCTAATAATGCAATGGTACAGGGCCCTAGATGCCTGCCTTTCGCTGTGTTCTGCATACCCTCCTAAAACTGTTCTCCTTGATTAAATGTGTTCCTTTAACATAGCACCTCTAACAAGCATCAGAGCAGTTAGTTCATGTAGAGATCGCATCATTTCCCCCCATGCTGAAATGCAGCATTATCCAACAGTTTTGTAAGGGAAGTACTAGGATAAATGCTGATTCAGGAAAGCACTTAAGCACGTACTTAAATCACAAGTCAATGGGACTTGTGTGTGTTTAAGTGTGTTTTTTTCCTAAACTGAGACCATAGTTCCTTCAAAACTGGAACAAGAAAATAATTGGATGGAAGAAAAAATGCATCAGGCCCACTGAACTAAATTCACCCCAGAGCTAATGTAACTGCAGGCTTTGGAGTTAAATTAGGGGTCAGTGTGGCCTCGTTTCTTGATGGTGGTTTCCTGCCTCCCTCTTCATCAACCTAGTGTTCAGAAAGCAAGACACCAGGCCCTGTGAATAATGACCTTGAAGTCAAGGAGGGAGTTCGGCTAGTTCGCGCCAGCAGAGATTCAGTTCCTTCGCACTTAACCTAGCTCCCAGTTTAATTAGTCTCTGCTGTGCCCTTGTCAGACTAATGTGTTCCACAGAACGTTTGTCATTTCTGGCTTTGTCGCATTATTGGCTCCCGCCATGCATTGTACTACATAAATTACACACTTCATCCTTTTTGTAAGTTTAACAAAAAAAAAAAGCATCATTCTCCTTTATAATTACACCATGACTTTATTATGTAAAAATCAACGCCGCACGTAAAGGCTCAAAACTACTGCAGTCATCTCTTACTTAGCATGATGTAGTTCAGGGGTAACTTCATTGAAGTCAATGGGCCTGATTTTCCTCTTACACCAATGTAAATCAGGAGAAATTCCATTGGAATTTCACCCCAGGGATTAGAGTGAATATTTGCACACATGGGCTGGGATAGTCAAAGGATTTGGGTGCCTAACTCCTCTAACTGCCTTCGGAAATCCCTCCCATGGCACCTTTTACCTAAATCAAGCTGGAATTTGTCTGTGAAAATATTCCTCTGCCTTAAAATTTTTTTTTGTGTATTTATCATCCCCATAGAACAGCCTTGCAAAAGCATCTACCATCCTAGGCACAGAATTTCCTTGGCAAAAATAAGTTGCATGTTGTTGTGGGTGAATAGAAATGTTCAACGTTACTTTAGAGAAATTTAAATATATATATATGGGGGGGAGGAGGGCAGGGCGATATTTTACAGTATAAGTCTGGTTACAGAAAGTGAAGCGCAACATATGCCAGCCACGTGGGTCAGTCTGAGGGTCACAGGCTCAGGAAAAGGATTTCTCATCAAGCCTGATATCTATAAAAAGTGAGGGCTGGGAATTATTAGGCTGTAGGATGAGAGGTTTTTAATTGTCATTCTTAATTATAGTAGTATGTAAGAATGAGAGGTAGGCCAGATCTGAACTTCCCCAAGTGTCCCGATCTGGAGGATAAATTCCGCTCATTAGCAAGACCACAGGAGCCAGTTGTGACATTCACACATGGCTCTTGATCCAAAGTTTGGGATATTCAGAACTAGGTTTTGTTTCAGGCCCACCCCCAGTTAAAATTAGTCATTAAATTGTCCTTTACCCTCCGGGTCATTTGTTTTACATTAATTGAGCTGCAGAAACCTCAGAAACTCCCATTTTAAGATTTGTACAAAGATGGTTTCAAACCTCATCCTGATTTTCATTCTGGTGAGTAGCAATCAGCAAGATATTAAATGAACTGCTGACTGGCAGGTTGCCTAAAACATTCTTAAAAGTCACAGCATTGTTAGAAAGAGAAATGTGGGATCTGGACCCAGACCCGAGCAACAGAAATCTAAGGGATTTACTTAACTACCTCTTTGTGGGGTGGCATACCAGGCACATGATGAAATGTTCACCACCAGCGTGAGCGACATACAAGACCATAAAACATCACCACTTAATAACAGTAGCACCCACTCTACAGTACCTGTAAGCATCATTGCCATACAACAGAGGAACAGGAATTTCCATTCTTGAGGACTTGTGAGCACTGTTATAGTACTATATGGGAATATTCAATCTCTAGTATTTATGACTACTGCTGTGTTACTGTTGGAGCTAGTTTCATTTTATATCCTTCAAGGGAAGAGGTGAACCCCATAAAACATAATTGTCATATGCATTTCTTAAATCTATCCCCCCTCGGAACAGGTCAAGAGCACTTTAACATCTGTATTGTAATTGTCATTGTTTTTTTGTTACTATGGTTCCACATAATTGTACCTAGTAATTAAAAAAAAGATAGGGTTATAAAAGTGGAGTGTGATATTATATTCTAAATAAATAGGGTGGATTTCATGTAGCAGAAAAAAAAACAGTGCATTGGTCTAAAGTCTATACATGTTTAAAACATTTCCTTTAACCTTTCGCAGACTTCTGGGCAGGGTATCGCCTTACGAGGACTGTTTTCATGCAGAAAATATGCAGATCATTTATCAATCACACAATGAATCAGTCAGACACAGGATTTGTAATGTATCTCTTTGCATTTAAATCACCGCGAAACGCCACAGACTTCTTAAAAGTAGCGTCAGGAGATAAGAATGGGTTATATCGACTCGGATCAAATATTGCATTTGAACAATTACCAAAAAATGAGATTAATATCACACTATCTGTAACCCTTGGATAGAGTTTGTGAAAAGATATGGGTGTATAACAGAATAAAACAAATGGGATCCTTTTATGCGATAATACAGATGTAAGTTGTCTGCATGCCTTACAAGAAGAGAATACTCAAAGGAGGCAATAAGACTGCATAGAGCTGGATTCTGCTCTCTCTCACTCCAGTTTTACACCTTTAGACTTAAGAGATTTAATCAAGATTTACACTGGTGCAGTTGACGGCAGCATTCCAGCTCAATGTTTTTCTAACTAGTGGAAAGCCTGTACTATGTGTTAGGGGTAAAAGAAACCCCACTCCCAAAAGGCTGGTCTGGCACAATTGGAATCTGCTCTCAAAGTATGAGTACCTCTGCTGAGGTCAAATGGTCCCACAGTGGTGTAAAACCAGATTAAAAATGAGTTAAGCCAGGCCTACTGCATCTGTTAGTTTTACAATTTTCTCCCCTCTCTGCTTCCTTTCACCACCCATTCTGCAATTGTACACCTTGCCCCCTTTTTGATTCTCCTTCACCCTGCTTTTTCTCCTCTTCCCTGGATCCTTCTTTAATCTGCACTAAACAGATTGGGAACACGATACTTGAGCATGAGTCAAACTTTCAAACCTACAATACATATGAAAAGGAATATCACCTACCTCTGATATAGTGTTTTTTCATCAGTAGAACACAAAGTGCTTTACAAAGGAAGGTAAGTATCATTATCCTCATTTTACAGGCCCAAGGTCATCCAACAGGCCAGTGGCAGAGACAAGAAATAGAACCCAGGTGTGCTGAGTTCCAATCCAACGTTCTAATACTCTCGGCCATCCAGCCTTCCATTTGAGTGGGCTAAGAGTTAGCAAAGTGAGGTGGTCACCCATCTCTAGACCACATACAACATAAATCAGAGCTGAAGTGGGAGAGTTAGGAAAGCAACCTAACCTGACATGTTACACAACTCTTCCTCTGCATGGTCACAATGCTAAACGTGACAATTCTGGACTAGTGCCACTGACAGCATAAGGCATTTTGAGAAAACGAGCGACGTCTATTTCATGCTCTCTCTCACCCTCAGATAGCATCTAACCATTTTGCCTCAATGACTCCCGTGTTTGTTTCTTGGTTATTTACACCAGATGCCAATCCACACATCCCTCATTACAGAATCAGTGGGATATTTTTGCTACCTCTAACATCAATCCAACATGCGGGGTGAACTGAACACCTCTCTTACAAAGTGAAAGATAAACTTTAGTTACATCCCCCTTTTATAGGTTTTGCAGACCCACAGAACTTTGCTCTACTACTGACCACAAGTCCCTTCACTTACCGTCTGATAGATGAAGTGAGTGGGGAATAAACCATCTTTCCATACCCATAATGCTCTGTTGGGCTTTTTTGTGGCTTCTCCCCATTACCTGGACATGCTAAAGAAAGTGTTTTTTTGCTCATGTGACTAGCACATTAGTGGTTATCACAGCCCATCCAATAAGCATCCACCCAAGTACACAAAGCATTCAAAGCCAACTTGCTGCACGCTAGTTCTTTCACTTGACCTTGGCTCTGTGCATCTTGGCCATTTACGGAAATTAGAAACAGTAGAGGTCAGGGGCCTCACCCCTTTGGGTCTCTGAAGCACTGGCCAATTTAAGAGAAGCTGATCTTATCCATTCCCATTCCATGAGCTCACGGCAGCCATGCTGTGCTGAAACTCTAACAGGAACCAAAATCAGCAGTTATTCATGAGTGACCTTTACTTGATTTACAGTCATTGTTTCATTGCAAGTGTCTCCCTTGTGCCAATGCAACGCCCACATATTTGTTGATTTTGGTTTGTCACGAATAACCTAATTAATTATCCCAAAGTTTTCAGCACACACACACACACACACACACACACACACACACACACACACACAAAATAGTCCTTCAGCTATAGCATATACACAGCAATGGAGTAACTTCTAAAGCTGCTTGGAGATCTAGCCATATAAGATTTATGGCTGTGAACGGCGATTCCTCCTCCTGAGGAGATGTCGCCCACCTTGCAAATGCTGCAGTTAGCGATAAGTGACTCCCAAAGATTTAAGACATTCCCCATTTGTTCCAGATAAGTCTGAAAGAGAGGAGTCAGGTCAAAGTGACCTTTTTGCTGCCCAACGTGTGTCGTCTCTCCCACACTGGCTCCGGCAACTCCCTCTGCTTTCCAACTCATTATATTTTCTTGCATAGTTTGGTTGTAAAGCAAAACTTCCTATGTTGGTGAGTTTTGCTTTGCCTGGCACCCAGCTGTGCTTCCACTCAGTATGTTTCATGTGCTATGCAGGCAGTGAAAAAGTGAGGGAAGAGAAGGAATCAGAGCGTCAGAGGGAGCTCCCTAAAGCCAATGCTGGTGAAAGGAGATTTCTGGGGACCCAAGGGGAGTGGGGAAAGATAAAGATGAAATGAGAGGTGGGCATGGTGAAGCATGGTGGGAAGTGAAGGAAAGAGACGGAGGTGTGAGTGATAGATGAATTGCTGCCCGCAGTTCCTCCAGGTCCTGTCAGTGGTGCGGGTGTGTCCACATCACCAGTCCACTCCTCTCCATTAGTCACTCGAATCCTCATTGCTCTTCTCTGCCAGGGACACATGGCTAGAGAAGGGAGCCAAATGCGGGTCAAGGGCGTGCTCGGTTACTTACGCGCGCGCACACACACACACACACACACACACGTAGTACGTACGTATTCCCTCCCATCTCTGGCCACACGTCAGACAGAGAAGGGAACACTAATCATGAATGAGACGGACATACCGGCAATAAGCAGCTCTCCTACACTGCAGGCAGAGTCAGGGGCGAGGAAGAGAAGATCTGGGCAGAATATAGGGGGAAAGCAAAGCAGCAGATAAATTCCAGATCTCAGCCGATCCCGGACAGTTCCCCCCTCCCCGAGCACTGAGCTAATCTCCCTTAAACCTGAGGCTAAAACAGAAGTCTGGCTCCCGTGCCAAGCCACCCAAGCCCCAAAGATCATTCAAATCAAGCTAAAAATCTCAGAACAGCCTTTTGAGAGATGTCCTGTTATCTC